TTTCCTCTGGAGCTGTACAGGCTGAGAACTGAAAAGGGGAAATGCCAAGCCCTTTATTTAAGACCCGTGTATGGAAGGAGAGACTCATGACTCCACTGAACACATGCACTCCATCAGCTGTCTGTGAAAGAGAGCTGTGACATATGGGGCCAGCACATGGGGTTGGGTGGAGCATTCAAACGGGAGCAACGTTAGAGGCTTGTGCAATGAAGGAGGTGCAGAGTGAAGTGTTTGTCTAGGAGATAGAGAGCTGCTGCACTCAGTCAGAGAGGGAGACTGCAGGCACAATATGCCCCCCCTGCCAGAGGGGAGAAGGCAGGATGTGGACATGAAACATGGGGACAGAAAGAGCAGATCAGGGGCATAGATCTTGGTGCAGAGACTCTGCTCCAAAAGCCACAACTTCAGGCATCAGGGTTTGCGGGGAAGCTAGTCTGGCCTGAGATGCTGCTCCAAGTCTTACAGCTCCCACCTCCTGGGCTTAGTCAGGTTCCCTGTCCAAGAACCAGGGTGGGACGGGCTGAAGATGGCCCTGGGGATGGGAGCAGGAATAGCTGAACCAGATGTGGAACTGCTTGGAGGTCAGAGCTTGAAACCCCATTTCTGAGTGCATCTTCCTCAAACCAAAATGCAGCATCCCACACCCCTTGAGCCTTACTCCACCCTGCTGCCAGCTGTGAACTGCTTATGTCCAATTTTGTGCACTAAAAATACCTTTCTGAATGGTCAGCAAGTGTGCAGCCAGATGGAAGAGGGTTGCATTCTGAGGGCAAAGAGGAGTGGGGGTGTATTTGGGGTAGGGGTGGGCTGCAGCACAAGGCCAGAGGGGCTTGGGCAAGCTGGGGTGGGGGTGTGGGGTCATGGCCTGGTTATCACCACAGAGGAACTTGCGTCAAGGTGGCAGTGTCAGGGTAGAATGTCTTGCTTGGCTTGGGTCCATGCTTCTGAGGAGAGGGGCATAGCGGGTGGGGCATGCACAGATGGACTCAGAAAGGTGGGGAGATGCTCACTGTGGAGAGCAGGCAGCAGGTCCTGCTCCCTCCCCTGGAAACAAGTTGCTGTATCAGTCAGAGCAGAGGGGAGGGATGGATGGTTGTCTAGACCCAGGGCCTGCCACAGCTCTGTCTGGCACCCAGGAGAGGCCTCCTGGGACCCCTGCACCCAGCTGGGCCATCCCCCGTCACATCTCTGCTCTCAGCCCACTGTCCTGGGGAAGGCCAGGCCACAGGCAGACCTGGCAGCTCCATAAGCCACCTCGGAAGTAGAGATGGTGGCCTTGGGTGGCCAGTGCCACAAGAGGGAGTCCCTGCCCCGGCTGCTGCCACCAACTGGGTGACATCAAAGATACCCCACCCAATGCCACCCCTCTCCCAGGCCAGCACAGCTCCCTGCTAGACCTCCCAGATGTTTTGCGGGGTTCAGGTCAAACTGTGACAACTCACCATGGCCAGACTGTCACCCTGGAGGGATCCCTCTACACCCCAGCACTATGGGAGCTCCACTTACCCTCCTGCCCACTGATCTGGGGGAGATGTGCTGTAGGGGACCGGGATATCCGGGGTTTATTGTGAGCTTGGGGAAAGGGCTGGAGGGTTCCTAAGTTCAGAGTGGCACAGTGTACTGGCCTTTGTCCCTGTAATGGCACTACAAGATCCCTGTGTAGAAGAAGGTTCAGAGCTGGTGGGAAGATTGGGAAGATTACTGGAGTGGAAAGAAAGACCCCACAGCAAGGCTCAGGGCTGGGCTCTAGCCAGGATCCTGTGAGTATTTTCCAGCTCTCCCTGCCAGAAGAGCATCTGGGCTCTGGCAGCACAGGCTGCAACCCTGACTGAGGCAGATGCTGCATCCTGGAGCATGTGGAGAGCCAGCCCCCCAGATCACACGGGGTTATGTGCTGGTGCTGTGCAGGGAGCAGACACCTGACTGGCCATCCTGGGGCTGAATCTGACTGGGTTACCCTCCCCGGGCCTGATCCTGACCTACCACCCGTGGGATGACATCCCAACCTGGCCTCAGCCCAGACACATCACCATGGTTGTGTCTGATTATCTATAGGTACACCCCACACCAGGCTCCCTCAAGGACAGGTATGGCGTAGGCACAGGAATAAGCCCCACATATATTTCTGTTGTTTGTGAGGTCTGACACAGGAATAGACTTTACAGCAGGGGAATGTAGACTTTCCACAAAGCCTGATCCTCAAAAGCCACAGCTACTTCTCATTTCCTTGTGGTTTTGTGGATGGTTTTGAGCCCTCAATGTTCTTCCCTGTCAGAAGTAAAACTGATTGTAAATTGCAGGCAGTTCAGGTTCTTCTCTCTTCAGTCTGAAGGTCTGAGTCCTATTAGTTCACTGATGATTGAACCAGACCTTCAGGGAACAGCCTATTAATCATATTTATAATGATCAAATCAATTGTCTTGAGGAAGGTATGTAACTGGCTGGTTTTATGATCTGAAAAAATAACATGCCCACTGTATGCTATAGCAGTAAATCTGTATTAGAAAGCATCCAAAATGTGTTAAGATGGCTCTGTGAGACTTAGTCCTGCTGCAAGGGCTAGAGCAGTGTGTGCAGAGTATGCACAGCCCACACGTGATGAGCTCTTGGAAGCGCAGTGAGCCGTCTCATGGAGCTGGAGCTCATCACCTCCCATTGATCATGCCATGCCGAGTTTGGACTAATGAGTTGCTGTGTGACTTGACAGTCCCTTGGAAACCTTTTCTCATTTGAACTCCTCAGTGCAGTTCCCAGATAAGTAAGGCACCATCAACTGAACTAGCGGCTCCAACCTTGGACTGTGTAAGAGCTAGGCATATGACAGTGCAGTGACTTTCAGTATTTCTTCAGCATTTTTCTAGTGCATGCTATACATGAAGACAACAAATCACAAAAAATAGTAAATTCCTAAGGAAGAAGAGGCCAGACACAGATTGCTAGGCCCCAGTGCATTTCAGTACAGGGGAAAAGAAACACATCAGCTGCAATAGGAAGCCTCTTGCACCACACGGGCATTTCTGAAGCTTGTCTGTTTTCGTTCACTAGTTTTGCTTCTTTCATATGGCAAAGACAGGCAGTGAGAGTGTCTACATCTAACACTGGGATTTTATGAGGACATTATGCAGGGAGTTCTGGCTGTGCCCATTCTCCTGGATTCTTGCACTTTTGCTGGCTGCACAGGCACAAAACCCCCCTGGTTCCCAACGCCCACAAAACAGGAAGGACATGACTTAGTGTTGCTGCTCTTCTTGCTGCAAGCTTGCTAGAAGACTTTACCCCATTAATCTCACAACAGCTATATAAGAGACAGCTGGAATTGTACTGATGTTCTGAATAGATCTTAGGAGAGACCTAGCTTCCAGAAACGCCTCAGTGTTGCTGCTCTACTGGTGTAATGCAGATAGATGCTGTCCTGTGTTGCTGAGGATGGTGGTTCCTGGGAAAGGATCTGCCATGGAGCTCTGGGCCAACTGGTCCCAGACGGGTGGTGAAAAGACCCTGGGTGACAGCACCTGTTCCCAAAACAGTGATTTTGTGAGGCCATAGAGCAATCATGCTCTTCTGTCCAGGGAAACAGAGAGAGAGAGGCCTTATAAACCACAGAGTTAAAAGAGGAGCTGCCCAGGCAAGCTGTGAGAGCAAAGGGAGACAGGACTCTGGAAACTTGAGACTGTGCAACAGTGTGTGAGCTGGAAAGGGGTTGAGAGAAGAGCTTGGTGACAGTGTCTTCAGGGACAGGAGGCTGGGGGAGTAAGCCAGCCTTGGGTTATGGCCCAAAATGAGGAGTGACTGGGGAATTTCCTCCCATACCCAAAGACCCTGCCTGGCCTAGCCAGGGACAGGAATAAGTCTTCTCCATCCAGCTCCAAGAAGACCTCTTACCCACAGTACTGTGTGCACTGTCCACTTGTGTGAGCAAGGACAACAGGCAGGACACAAGAACAACCACAAACCACAGATGAAATGCAAAGAGTAAATTTATTCCTATTATCTAGCAACTCGAGGGATCTCTGCAGCAAGACCTGGGCAGAGGCACACAAGCAGGGATGCAGACACCGCAGAGCTCGGTCCTTGATAATCAAGGCAAAGAGAGGGAAAAAAGTGAAAAAGAAAAAGAAGAACCCTGGCCTGCTGCTTTTGCCTTTTTCTATCAGGGATTTTTGCAGGCGTACTTTTCCACTGTGCTTTGACTTTTCCCACAGCAGGGCAGGAATCTCAAGGATCTTTGAGATCTCTCATAGGCTGAGCTATCTAAATACAGACATTCTACCCATCAAGCACATAGGGCTAAGCAACAATTAGTGAGATATATGTGGTTTTTGGCACTCCAGCTGCAAGTCACTTAAGTGTGCTTACAATCCTTGTCGCCAATCTTCTGTTGTATTCCCACACCATCTCAAGGCGCTTCACATCCTAGAAAGCACTGAGAAAGTGTAGCTCAGAGCAGGGTAGCAGGAGAACAGAAACAACCCACATCTGGCTGGTTCAGGAACTTGTCAGATCTGGAAGGTCTGTTGATGGCATTTAACAGTGATATTGTTGCAACTGGGTCAGTTCAAGGTAATAAGTACACTGATTTCAAGTCAAAAGTGATGCATTATGAGACCACCCTGGTGTGGCTTGGGCAGGTGAACCAGGAGTGTTTTCCTCAAAATCTACTGCTTTATCTGGAGGGATAGAGGAGTGAGACAGACCTGAGAAGGTTTTGGGGGTGTTTGTGGGAGCAGGGCTACGGGGGCCTGAGGTAGACATCAAAAGGCTGGACCAAGGCATCTAGGAGACCCCATCAAGCCTGGATTTACTGCCTGCAGGCAGATGGATGAGGAGCAGTTCTGCGGCTGGCGGGATGGTGTCTTTCCAAAGAGGAAGCTTCTTGCACCACATGTGATTTCCCTGGGTGGCTGTTTCATTTCTGTGTCTGTACCTCTCCTGTGCTGGGTTACACAGATACCTTTCTCGAGTGACTCAGACTGAGTCCTGCCCAGGGACTTCATGCTAGCATGGATCTGCAAGGGATGACTCTGGCCTTTCTCCTGGTCCTTGCCCCTCTGCTGCTAGCACGGGGACAGAAGGACCCTGGTCCCAAGAATCAGGGGGCAACCAAGGAGGCAGGTAAGAGCAGGTTGTGCTTCTCTCTTACAGAAAAGGTTTTTGCTGCTCCTCCCTGAACGTTTGCTATGTGGCTATACCTTGTTCACCCCGTGGTGGCTCTGTTGTGGAGGGCTGAATATGGTGTCTGCATCAGTTCTGAGACACTCAGGCATCCGTTGGGTTGTGGTGGGGTGAAGCTCTGGGAATCGAGGAGAGCAAGCCTCGGTGTGCTGGGAAAGCTTCCAGGAGCGTAGGAGCTGCAGTGTCCCTTCAGGGAGTGGGCAGCGTCCCTGGAAGCAGGAGGTGGCCAGTTCTTGTTGCACTGTGGAAAGATGAAGCCGGGGCAATCAGAGCAGTGGTGGCCTTTCTGGGGTGCTCCAGGCAGCAGGAGAAGCCAGTGGTGGTGTTCAGCAAAGATGTGGAGAGCTGTGAGATGAATCCCTGTGTTAGCTGGGATGCCTTCTCTCTCCCATTGTCCTTGTCCTTGGAGTTGCAGGATCTGTAGTTCAGTGGGATTATTCTTTAACAGCATAGTTCTGTTCTTTCTCTGTGCCGGGAGGGCTAGGAGCACTTCAATGGTGTCTGCTGGGTTTTTCCTAGGGAGACTGTGGGCTTTCCTATGGGAGACTGTGTGCTCTGCCCTAGGGTTGTCGATACCTGTTGAGGTCCCTGTACAGCACAGGAGGAATGGATGCTGTTTTCACCAGGGGTGTGGGGGCCTGAGGTATGAGTCATTCTCTCAACAAGGAAATGGGAGCAGAAGTGGCTTGCCAAGTCAGCGGATGGGTCATGAGTCATGTTACCCATTGCTGGTGGCCGTAGGGATGCTGCCCTTCCAGCAATGGGCACCCCTCATCTATCCAGGGCAGGATGGAGCCTGTTCCCCTCGACTCAGCAGCACCTTCTGCCCCTTTCTCCTGTTCCCCACAGCCCATCCCTGAGAAGCCCTCTCGATAGTCACAGCTCTGTCTTCCTTGACCTGAAGAGTCTCAAGGGAAGGACCCTGTGATGGGCTCGGTAGAGGTATTGGCTCTGAGTGGCTGGGTGAGATTTCTTGTGTCTATGTCTGCAGAAGAGGTGTGGGGCACCAGTTTGAGGTTCTGGCCATTATCCTTTATTGTGCTGTTGGCATCTGCAGCACCAAAGGAGGCTGTTGGAATCTGGATTGAGGGTAGCCTAGCAGGCAGAGGCGGAGCTTGCCTCCATCTGCACTGAGAGAGAAGTCCTGGTGCCAAGCCAAGGCCCCACAGGGGCTTTTGTTGCGGTTGGTGCTCTTCAAGTGTCATCAAGAAATCATGTCTGCCATGGACATGTGCTTTTTTCACTTTCTCTTTGTGTCCTGTGTCCTCACTGTTCAGGGATAGCCATCAACATCTGAATGACCCACATGCATTTTCTAGACCACACCTTGACAACAAAGGCTTGTGTTACTTGCTGACAGTGCCCATGGCCCAGTTTTGCTGACCTTCCTCTCACCACTGAGGTCTGCATGAGACAGCCTAGTGCTCCCATTTCTCCTATGTCCCCTCTCATGCCTTGACCTTGCCAGCTGTTTCCTCAGTGGCTTTTCTTGTTGATTTCTACTCCCTTAGGAGACTAACCTGCTTGTCACTGTGTCCTCTTGCTTTGTAGGTCATTGTCAACCTCCTGACTGAGCCAGGCTGTGCTCTTACTGCATCCTTCATCCTCTTTCTGTGTAAGGGTGTTTCTGCCTAGCCTTTCAGATTGTAGAGCATCTTGGCGACATCCAGTCATTGGGACCTTTATCCTGACAGGTACCAATAGGAAAAAAACATTCCTCCCCACAGGTGGAAATCTGCTCTTTGAAGCATAGTTGATTTTCCCACAGCAGAGGGGTTTCATCCCCTCTGGCTGGTGTCTGTGGTCAAACACTTGGTACCAGGCAGGTAGCATGGACTCTGCTGAGGTGGGAAGGATCCTGGATGTCACTCTGGGGCAAGAGTGTGAGGGTGGATGCACTGCTTCAGGAGGGTTTAATGATGGGAGGGGGGGAAGGTGCGTGCCAGGGATACCTAACTAGTCTGGGAACAAGTCAAGCGTTTCAAGTCTGTGAGGGCTGTTGGCTGTCACAGCAAGTGTGTGTTCTGACGGCACTGGGAGGTGTCCAGCTGTGGGGGAAGAAGTTTCCTATGTGGACAACACATGTGGTCTCAAAGGCTCGCCACTGTCCTTTGTGGTGGAGCATCAGGGTGTAGGGTTGAGAAGATGGTGTGCAAACCTGTTACCAGATAAAGGAAGTATTGTGATGCCCCTGTTCCAGTGTAAGTGACTGCAGCCCCATATGTCCCAGCTGGCAGGAAGCGGGCAGTTGTAGAGATGCGTGTAGCTTAAGAAAGGTATTTCATCTTAATTTAGGGGAGGCCACCTCCTACCCTGATGCCTTCTCATGGACTCAGCTTGCACTGGGTGAGCAAGTCTTGGGTGACACATTTACCAGGGCAGGACAAGGCAGGCTTATTTTGGGTGGAATGCACTGAAAAGGCTGGGTGCACAAAGTGGGGTGTGATCTTTGTGGCCAGTGCTGTGAACTTGGATGTGGAGGTCTGGAGGCAGGCTCTTGGTACTGGCAGCTGCCTCGTGGGACCAAGTTGAAAGGGTGTGCAATGGCAGCAGAGACTCACTGGGTCTGGTGCACTCCACAGCCCCTGTCTTTGGGGGAGAGAGCGCAGGAGAGAGCAGCATCCACCGGGCCGCTGCTTCCCACTGGCTGGGATGCCTCCACAGCACTTGGGTGGGCAGGAGGGCCCGAGGGTGCAGGGAGGGTTAATGCACCTGGGATCTGGGGCCTCATCCTGAGAGGTTCTCATCTCTGCCACACCTCAGCAGTGAGGGGGACCTGCAGCCCTCTGGGTGGGGACTCCTCACCGCCGAGGACACTGCCGGAGCCCAGTGACCCTCAGGGCTCTCCCTCATGTCCTTTGCACACAGGAAGATGTAAAGTTCCCTCCGACTGGGACCCCAAGCTGCAGTTTACCCCACACCAGAGCAGCTATGCCTTGAACGATTTGGTGCAGCTGAGCTGTGCTGGGGAGTATGTGCCATCGGTCCCTGAGATCAGATGTATTTCCAACGGGCCCCAGACCTTGTGGAATGGGACTGCTACCTGCAAGGGTAAGCACAGCCCCACATCACCCTGACCCAGGGTCCTGAGCTGGTGACAGACCCTCTGTGACATGGTCGTGCTTCAGCCCCACCTGGGTGACAGTCCAGGAATGGGAGACCTGGATGCCTTGGCTTTCTGCCCTGTCCTGTCAGTGCCAGGGCATCTTTTATCTCAGCACCTTGCTGTGGGCAGCTGCCAGGGTCTGTGCTCCTGGGGAGGAGTTAAAAGGCAGGAACCCTTCCTGGTCAGTGTCTTCTGGCTCCACATGGACAGCTGTCTCTGTGAACCTGGGAGAAGGAGGAGTAGCTGAAGGGTTTCAGCTTAAAGCTTTGGCATTTTGTGCTGCTTGTTTCCCTGGGAAGCTTCTCTGGGTTTGGGTGAACTCTGGTGGGGGAGGCTGTCACTGCTGCTTTGCTCACCTGGGCATGAGGGATGTCGTGAGAATTTGGTCTCAAGTACCCCATGGGTGGGTGGAACCCAGGGGAAGATTTGGAGTCCTGGAGATAGGGCTGAAAATAAGCCCTGTGCCTCTGAACAGTTGCTGGGCACACAATGGGAGTAGAGGGACCCTTGCATGTGTCAGGGCGAGTGGTCAGAGTCACGGGGAGAAGAGATGTATCCCAAGCCTCCTCTCGTCACCTCCCAGAAATACTCACCCAATTTTAGCTCTGACAGAAATATGCCAAAGGCCTGTTTGGTGGGACCCAAGACTCCAGATGGCTCCAGTCCGTGGGAATTACAAAAAGAATGAAGAAGTGACTCTGAGCTGCAACAATGGTTTCCGGCCATCCTTCACCCATGTCAAATGTGCAGGGGGAGCTCAGTCCTTGAATTATTCTGGATCTCTAAACAGAGATGTGTGGCTGGGGAGGAAAAGCAGTGATGTCTGGATCCACATTGAGGGGAACGTAGTGTGCATTGGTAAGCAGGGTGCGAGGAGATACCTCTTATGGAGTTCCATGGTCAAATCCTGTCCCATTCATTGATCTCTGAGCTTCCACCATCATCACTGTGGCCAGGGATGCACTTCTGATGCCTGACAGGGGCCACTCAGATGTTTTTGGTACCTGAGACCATTCCTCCACTGAATTCTGACACATCCTCATCCATCATCTGCCTGAGCAGGCCTCAGCCCTGGTTGGCATGCACCCACAAGGAGAGCCCTATCCCAAAAACCCTTGTCTACAGGTCACATCCTGGCAGATGGATGTGTCACCTTCCATCTCCCTTCAGGGATGGAGGGATTGCTGGGGATTGATGATGCCCCAACACATACCCCAGCCCCTCCTCAAAACCTCCCACCCCAACTAACACTCACTTTCACTTCTGCCAGAAACATGCCAAAGGCTTCACTGGGGCCGAGGACTCCAGCTGGCACCAGACCAGGACAGTTACAAGAAGAATGAAGAAGTGATACTGAGTTGCCCTGATGGTTTCCAGCCATCCTTTACCCATGTCAAATGTACAGGAAAAGTCCTGTCCATCATCAATGGAAAACCTGTATACAGAGAAACTTGGAATGGAAGGAACAGCAAAGGCAGATGGATCAACATTCAGTCCATGTTCAGTGTGGAATGCATCGGTAAGGGAGGCATCAGGAGCTCTCCTGGATGCCCTGTTCTGCCCTTCTTGAGCAGGGGAAGGCAGTCTGTGCCTGCACAGGAGGTTTCAGGCTCCTGTCTGCCTGGGGAAATGGTAGGTGCTGCTGAAGGCCGTGTCTAGGCAGCCCCTGTGCCTGACCTGTGTCCAGCCTACGGCTAACCAGTGGGTGGGAGCCTTGGTGGGGAGGGAGCTGCTGCCAGCCTCAGTCCCTGAGGGTCCCGTCAGGAAGAGACTTTGGGATCAAGGTGGGGGGCAGTGGCCAGAGCTGCTCATGCCAGGTTAGGGCAAGGAGCCCGGTGTGCAGGGCTCCAGACTGTGGCTCATGGGTGGCTGGGAGGTTCCTGGTGGAGGTGCGTGAGTGACATGGGTCTCCCTGAAGGATTCTGGCGAGAGCATGTGTAGAGGAGATGGGGGTTACAGTCCTGTAGGTCTGACAGGTGTTTGTGGCACAGGCGGCCAAAAGCACCGTGTCAGATCCTGGGAGATCACAGGACTCTGTTCCCTGTGTCTTCTCAGCCTGTGTGGGCAGGACAAAGGCCTGGCCTACTCCTCATGTGCTGGTGTCCCCTCCCAGTGTCTGCTGCACACCATCACTGCAGGAGCCAGCTTTCAGGCTCAGGCTTTATTGCCTTCTCAGGAGGACTCAGGGTGGTGGTGTCCTACGTGAGGGATGAACAGGGCACCTGGGTCAAATGCTGGTCCATCAGTCTCTGTGCAGGCTTTGTGCACAGTATGAGCCCCTCATGGGTGCCCCAGTCCTCAGAGCTCCAGCTCCAGTGCAGGGCCCTTCTTGTCCTCATCCCCTTGTTGAGTGCCTGATGCAGGAGGGCTGCTCTATATGGTGTCCTGGAGCTCCATCTCTCACCCTGCCGTGCCATGGGAAGGGATTCCCTGCTCCATCCACTGGCATGGCCTGCAGGGCCACCCTCTGCCCTGCTAATGCCTCCCCGTCTTGTTGGTGCAGAGAAATGCCAGAAGCCTCAGTGGGACTCCAGATTTATATTTGACCAAGAATGGGGGACCTTCAACCCAAATGAAGTGGTGAAGATGAGATGCCCTGAGGGGCACTGGCCTCCCCCCATGGAACTCAAATGTGTGAAGCTCAACACAAGGGAAGGCTCCATGATTCCTCGAAGTGGCTGGTTTGTAAGGAACAGCACAGGCCGCTGGCACCGTATGGAGGGGAACTTGACCTGTGTGGGTAAGTGAGCAAAGCAGCTGTTCTCCCAGTGCTCTCAGTCTGTTCTCCCCAGGCAGGGAGAGCAGTGCTGTGTATGTCCCACAGCATTAGTGCCCTGTGCTCAGGGTGGTCAGGGCACAGCATGGGCATTCACTCCAGAGAAAACTGCTGCTGCATCCCAGGTTTGTGTCTGCACTGCTGGCCGCTGGGGCACCCTGCACAGCACTGAGGAGGACAAGCCCCTGCATGTAGGATGCCAGGCAGCAAGCCCAGACCAGCTAGATGGGTCAGCCTGGAGAAGAGCGTGAGAGTCTTGCTGTGACTGCTGTGTTGGTTGACTAAGTCACTGTTGATATGAAAGGGACCAGACACCAGATGAGTTGCTAGCCCCAGAGTGGTAGTTGCAGAGAGGCCACAAGTACCTGCTCTTACTTTCCCACAGTCACTGCAGCCCCCCAGAGTACCCCTGGGAATGGTCGAGGGCCCAAGGAAGGTGCAGGCAGTGCATGAGCATAGTCTGGGAGATGGCCTTTTCCACAGTGAGCTGGGAACAGGCTAAGGAGAGAACAGTGGGGATGGCAGAGGTTGGCTGCAAGGCTGTAAGGGGAACGGAGTGAGCCTCTTGCAATGTTTCCTTCACAGATATCCTCCAGGTTGTCCCTGGGACCTTGGAGATTTCCAGCACCAGCATCAAACTGAACTGGACCTGCAGGCTCCCGGATGCCTGCCAGCGCATTTGGGCCAGGTGCCGGCTGGAAGAACATTCCTCCCCTCCCTGTGAGGCTGAGGACGTGAAGGGAGAGGAGATGTTACAAGGGCAGGAGGGAACATTCACCTGTCCCCCTCTGCAGCCCTTCACTGTCTACAGTGTCACTGTCTCCCTGCCCCCCAGCACGATCCTGTATACACGGCTCCTCAGGACAAAGGAAACAGGTATGTCTACATGAAATGCAAAGGTGCCCTTTGCCTGGCAGCTCAGCCCGAGTATCTGCTCCCTGCAGTGATGGTACTGGAATCAGGACTGCTGGGATCCTGTGGTGCTCTGGGGAAGAGTCTGTGCAGGGCCCCTCCTCACTCACCACACTGTTGCTGCTGCTGTGGCACATGCAGCCTTTGTGGGGGACAAATCCTCGCTGGCCTCATGCCTGACCCCGTCCTCTTGTGCTTCCAGTGCCGGACAAACCGGAGAAGCTGTGGCTGGATCCCAACACAGGGTCCCTCAGGTGGAAGGCTCTGCCCTCCTGCAAAGGGGAGATCATCGGATACCAGGTACCAGGGGGCCACAGAGTGCCTGTGGTGCCCCTGACCTTGCCAGGGACCTCCCTGCCTGGAGCTCTGTGCAGGCAGCCTGGGGAGAGGTGTGAGCCCTCCTCAGCCAGGGCTCATCAGCTCTACACTGCTGATGCTTCTGGTAGCATCAGGTCCTCTCCTGTTCCCAGACATCAGTAGCAGGCTTTCTCCACAGAACTGACCTTAGTGGGAGTGGGAGGTCGGTGCTGCTCTCGACCAGCTCCCTATCCTTCCTCTAGCTGAACATCACAGCCAGGAGAGCGCATGATGGCAGCTTCCTTGAATTCAGGCAGGTGTTGGTGAACCAGTCTGTCACTCAGTACACGCCACTTCAACAGGCACCAGGAAGCAAATACATGGTGACAGTGCAGGGCCTCACCGTGGCTGGTGCTGGGGCTGCGTCACTGCTGGAATTTCAAACCTACGTCTCAGGTAATGATTGTTCTGCCCTGGGTCTGGCTGTGGTGGCCTCCCTGGCAGCAAACCCTGAGCCTGGAGCAGCTTCCAGAGCTGTGTGTGTTCTGACCCTGTCCCCACCAGGAGAGAGGTGGGGAGTGTGGGCAACCTGAGAACCATGGGGCTGGGTGAGTCCTGCTTCAAGGCAGTGCATTGCCTGGTCCCCAGAGCTTCAGCCCCTGTTTGTGCATGTGAAAGCAGAGCTGGCACCTCCGCTCTTCCACTCAAGATTATACCCATCCCTGCATGCATGTGCACTTGGGGCTCAAGGTCAGACAGCACTAGGGCTTCTGAGCCTGGCTCTGTGTGTCCTCCTGCTGTGTGCAGTCTGGTTGAGCAGGTTTCCTGACCCTCCGGTTGTGTATGGAAGATGGGGCAAGTCCCTCTGCTCCAGAGCCTCCTTCTGCTTTGCCCTGTCCAGCAGATGTGAAGGCAGGGGAAGACTGTGCCTTGCTGCCTGTCCGTGCAGCAGCCAGGACAGCAGAGCCTGGACACACGTGTCTACACCACATGTACACACCCAGCGCCAAGTTTGGGGCTGTTGCTGGCACATGGTCCAGGCTGTGGCACCCACTCTGGCTGTGTGTTAGTTTCAGGACAGTCTCTGGGACTCTGGCCAAGGTCAGCAGTCACAGTAGTGGTGGTGGTGCTGGTGCTGGTCCCCCTGTCTGCAGGGATCCTGTGGTTTGTGCTGTCTAGGTGAGTAGGCAGGAGACTTGGAGTGGCTGCTCTGCCTCAGGCCATGCTGTGCTGTGGGGTGGCAGGGAATGGAGAAGGGGTTTCCCCAGCTGCTCCCACCCTTCTCTGGGTGTGGAGGATGCTGTTGGCTGGTCCTACCATAGCTTGGCTTGATGGGGCTCATAAGCATCTTCCCTGGGGCTGGGGCAGGGACCGTCCATGCTGAGACCCCTTCCCTTGTTGATGAGCAATGCCTGCCAGCTCATGAGAGGCCCAGAGGGAGGGTCCACAGCCCTCCATGCCTCTGCCGCTGGGTTCAACAAGGCCCTGGTCCAGGTCTGCCTCTCCCCCTGACTCAGGACTGCCCTTTGCCTTCCCAGGAAAAGGAAGGCCTTGCCCAGCAAAGTCGAGGAGGATCATTACACAGGTAGGGTCCCCATCACAGAGAGGGCTGTAGGGCTGGGGTTGGAACTAGGAGAGGAACAGTTTTACTGCAGGAGAGCCTGTTGCCATCCTGTGGTGGCTGCAGGCAGCCCAGCTGACTCTGGCTGGTCTGCCAGAGCATGTCCCACATCTGCTATCCCCAGCTAAGAGCCTCCTCTGGCTGCTTCTTCCAGCAACTTCTGGCTGGGTTCCCCCCACGGCGCCCATGAGAGTTGGGAGATGTCCCTTGTGCTCGGCCTGCCCAGCCTTGCTGCCCTGCTGGTGCATGCCCCAGGGTGCCTTCCAGCCCCCAGTGACTGCCTGGGTCTGCCCTGCTCCTTCCCCCACGGCCCCTGAGTCCCTCATGCTATTTTTGTCATTCCCCCAGAGCTCCAGCCCTATGAGAACTTGGATAATTACTGCGTGATCAAGGAGAATCTTCTGGCAGATGCAGGTGGGAGATGGATTGTCCTGCCTGTGTTCTCAAACATGGCAGGGAGAGGGTAAACAGTGGCAGCTGTGGAGGCCTGAGCTCCCCACGCTGCTGAGGGCACACAGCAGCCTCTGCTCTGAGTGCCCTTGGTCTCTCCAGGTAAATGTGGCCAGGCTGGAGAGACGTTGCCCGAGCCCCTGCCTGTCCTGCAGTCCTAAGGAGACAATCAGCGCAGTGAGGGAGAGAAGATGGGGTGGACGTCTGAGGCTCATTGCTGATAGCACTTCCCATAGCCCCTTCTTGAGGCTTGGTCCTCCACTGCCGGAAGCAGGACCTCATATATCTTGTGCTGGGTTATTGCTCCCCCTCAAATTTGCTTCCTCATCAAGCTCCAGCATCCTCTGTCACAGAGCAGGAGCAGCCCAAGGCCTGGGATGACCTGCTTGTGCCAGCAAGGACGTGTTCTGGTAGTCCTCCAGTGCTTTGTCAAAGCCATTCCACTTGTGTCCTGGTGCCTACAACTGTCCTCTGAGACTGAAGCCACTCTGGGTCCCAATCCATCTTTCCCAGTTTCATATTCCCATATACACCCAGCCCCTGGCTGCTTCTTACTTTTGGCCTGACCACACTGCCCCTGCAGCTGTGCTGCTCTGTCTGAACAACCAATAAATTTTGCTGTTTTTCAAGGGCTGCTTGACATGCGATGGCTCCCACCTTGTCGTGTTTCCTCCCTGTTTTGTGTGTAACAGCCCTGTCCCTACGAATCTTCATGGAGGAGCTCGGACTAGGCTTTTCCAGCCCCTGGCAGCCCCGAGAAAGCATGTCTGAGAAGCCTTGTGCTCCCAGAGCAATGCTTCAGGTTGCTACTTTCCTTCCTCCCCATCCTACAAGTAGCATGGTCTCAACTAGGCTGAGCTGGACCTCTGTGTTGGTCTGTGACCCCCTTGGTGGCTGTTGGTGCTTGTCTCCCATTTTGTGAGGTGCAGTTGATGCTGACCCTCTTGGGAAATCTCCATCTTGCAGCATTCGGGATCTGGTCAGTCTTGGCTGCTGCTCTGGGTGCAGCCTCCAGCAGCCACTGCCTCTCCTGTCCTGAGGGATGCCAGTGGCCTGTGCAGCCTGGAGGCTGCCCAAAGGCTCTACTTGGTGAAGATCACACTGCTGGAAGATGGGGAAATCAAGCACTCTCTTCTCTGGCCTTTATTTAGCCTGGGATGACCTGCATGTGCCAGTAAAGACATGTTTTGGCAGTGTTGTGGTTTAAACCCGGACAGCAGCCAAACACCACGCAGCTGTTTGCTCACCCTCCCCTGCCTGGGGGATGGGGAAGAGAATTGGGGGAGTAAAGGTAGGGAGACTCATAGATTGAGGTAAAAACAATTTAATAATTGTAATAAAATAAAGCAATATCAATAATAGAAAGTACAAATGGCTAATGCACAATGCGACTGCTCACCACCTGCCAGCTGATACCCAGCCTGTTCCCTGCTAGCGATCCTGAAGTACCAAGATCCCGCAATCACTATCCCAGAAGTGAGGGAGAACGCCCTCCTTCACAGTCATCCCTCCTTTATATACTGAGAATGACATTACATGATAGGGAATATTTCATTAGCTTCTTGTACACCTGCGCAAAGGCAGGACAGAGGGAGTTGGAGAGTCCTTGATCTCTTAGCAACAACTGAAAATATCAGTGTGTTATCATCATTCTTCTCATACCAAATCCTATACCGAATCCAAATTCTAGCTACTAAGAAGAAAAATTAACTCTATGCCAGCTGAAACTGGGACAGTAGTCCTTCATATGAGCTGTCTGACCATCATCGTGGTACCTGCAGCTGGTCCCTGGGACCAAAGCATTTCCTTCTCATGGACTTCAGTTAGTGTGACCTGCATGTATGACGGAGCTGCTCTCAATGGGTATTGGGCAGAGGGGGGAAGAGGGAGCTTATCTCCGTGTGACTGCTGCTGGTTGGGAAAGGGGAATGTGCAGGGTTGGGATATGGGGAAGTGGAGGGTTGGTTCGTGCTCCTGCCACCTCCTGGGTTGCCCCGCTCCAGTCAGACCCAGGGCTATCATCCCTGTGACTCTGCCTCCTCTGTCCAAACAACCAGTAAAAGCTCGTGGTTTGGAGGGGGCTGCTCACCCCCACCCCCAGCTCCTGCCTGGTCTCCTGCATTGCCCTTGTGGGGGCTCATTCTCTGTGGGATATTGAGATAACAGCACCTTGCTGAGGGGAAGCGGTGAGCAGGGCTGCTGTGGCTGGAGCTGTGGCTGACAGCCTCCACACACAGTCCCTCAGGGCTGTGCTGGGCAGCTCTGACGTGCGTTTGGATGGGGGCTGTGTTGAGGACCATGAGTAGTGGTGCTCCCCCATATTCATCCTGGGCAGGAGTGTGTCCTGTGCATGTGCCATGGGCAAAAGCTGAGGGTCAAGCATGGTCTTTGCTCCTCTGCAGCCCCCATGTCTGATTACCCATCCCTCTGGGACCGAGGTGGCACTCAGCTGGCACTGGAGGACAGCGTGGTCTGCACACTTGGGGACAGAGGATGGGGAGGAAGAGAAGGCAGCTGGGGATAGAAGAGCAGGGAAGAAAGAGAGAAGGAGCAGGTTGAGTGTATCTTTCAGAAGGGCAAAGGACTTTTTCAGACCTTGAAGTACTCCTTGCAGTTCACATCCCCATTCCTATCTCTGCTTCTTGCCATCTCTTTATGTGCTTTCTCAGAGATCCTCCATCTCCTGTGATCATTGAGGAGAAGTGCAGTGACTCATCACAACTCTGAACCCCATGCAGAGGCATTCAGAAGCACAAGGACATTGCCTCAGAAATAGGAGTAGTGCTTCTTGAATGCACTCTGGTAACTAGGAGGGTTTAGGGGAAAACTCTGGGATCTGGGTGACAGGGGCTCTGAGTACCAGGAGCCCCTAGAGAAAAAAGGCAGCAAAAGGCAGCAGTACTGACACTGATGGGAAGTTCCATCCCCAAAGAGGAAGCTTCTCTCATGAGATTTCCCCATGTGTCTGTTTCCTTCCTGTGGCTGCAAGTCTTGCAGCCAGTTACTGGTGCCTGGGCTGAGAGGCAGCAAGTGGGACTGAGATTTGAGTGCTGCCTGGGGACTTCATACTAGCATGGCCCTACAGTTGCTGGCTCTGAGGTTTCTCCTGGTCCTTGTATCTCTGCAGACAGCACAGGGCCGGGAAGAACCTGATCCCAAGGTCCAAGAAGTGCCCTGGGAAACAGGTAAGAACCGGTTCCTCCTCTTTGCTGGAGAGATTATGATGCTTCTCCTTCTGTAAGGAGACATGCATCTTTGCTGCCTGCAGCCCTGGGCTGGAGCCCAGGCAGACCTCTGAGTGCTGTCAGCTGGGGTACCTGATGTCTCTTGGAGACACCGAAGGGGTGGGTGTGGGCGCACTGGGGTGCTGTGGGAAGAAGGAATTGGGTTGGACAGTCAGGGGTGGGTGATGTCCTGCACCAAGCCAGTTTGCCAGCTGTTCCCTGGAGGCTGCAGGTATGAATCAGGCATGAATTCATGCATTATGAATCAGGGGAAGGGTCTCCAGGGAGCAGGGCTACTACTTTCTGTACACATCCTATCACCAGGTGTGCCCGAGGGACACTGCCTGCTGAGAGCAGAGCAAAAGGGAATTTGCTGCCGCTTTGCCAGCTGGATGGGCCTGGGCGTGGGGAGAAGCTGGGTGCCTGCACGTGGGGTAGGTCGTGGCTGTGTGTCAGTGGGACACAGCTTCTGGTTGTGGTGCTCAGCTAGGCATCTCTTGCCTTCTGCAGTCAGGGTTGTTTAAGAGCAAAGCCTGACCATAAGTGACTTGTTTACCAGCACGTCTGTACTTCTTTCTGGCTGTTCAGAAGATTGTCTGAACCTTGTGAGATCCCTTCTCTGCTCCTTTGGGAGAAGGGAGATAGTATTTTAAGCATTTTAAGGCCTCCCAGAGCCCCTTGCAGAGGCTGGAACAGGAATGAGCTTCTCTTCAGGTGCCAGCATGCTTGCTTGTAGGAAACATTGCCACAAAGCCTCTCCCTGCAGCACTCAGCAAATATCTGCGACAGGCTCTGTGTGCTCAGCCCCAAGGATGGTGAATATGGTGTGGAGGGGTTGTGGAGGAGGGAGCAGGGCTTGTGGCAGGGAAGAGGGGCAGGGTCTGGGTAAAGAAGGGGATGTGAATGGAGAAGACATTGCTCATCCCCATGTCCCACTGCACAGTGGCATGGGCAGGAGGAGAGTAGCTGAGGTACTGACAGAGCCAGTACCCAGGCACCCCAGAATTGTCACAGGGGCACCTCTGCTCCCTGTGGGAGGGGTGATCCATGTCTGGAGAAACATCTATGCCAGAAGGGCTGGTGGACCCATGACCCAGCAAGGGCATCCTGAGCTGGGGTGGCTGACATGGCTGAATGAGTGGCTGGAGAGAGTCTCCTAGTGCAGGAGTGATTGTCCTGGGAAGCTCCCTGCGGTGGGCTGTGGAGGAAGGTATATAGCGTCCCTGGACACAAGGGTGGAGGGAGGAGATTCATGGATAAGTGACCATTCACGCGCTGGGTGCACAAGGAGAGCCCCATCCCAACAAGCCTTGCCTATGGGTCACATCCTGGCAGATGGGTATGTCATCTTTCTTCTCACTTCAGGGACCAGAGGTATTGCTGGGGATTTTTTTTCCCACCACCCATCATGCTCCACCTCATCACTTCCCAGCCCAACCAATATCCACTGTCACTTCTGCCAGAAATGTGCCGAAGGCCCCAGTGGGACTCAAGACTGCAGCTGGCACCAGAACAGGACAGTTACAAGAAGAACAAAGAAGTGATGCTGAGTTGCCCTGATGGTTTCCAGCCACCCTTCACCCATGTTAAATGTGGGAGGGAAGTCCAGTCCCTCAGTCATGGGAAACCCATATACAGAGAAGTTTGGCTTGGAAGGAACAGCAGAGGGGTCTGGATCCGCATTCGGTCCAGCGTGGAATGCATCGGTAAGGGAGGCATCAGGAGCTCTCCTGGCTGCCCTGTTCTGCCCTTCTTGAGCAGGGGAAGGCAGTCTGTGCCTGCACAGGAGGTTTCAGGCTCCTGTCTGCCTGGGGAAATGGTAGGTGCTATCAAAGGCTATGTCAAGGCAGCCCCTGTGCCTGACCTGACTCCTGCTGCTCCCCTACCAGAGAGCCCTACCACAGGAGTGACCAATTTCAGCCTCATGGTTTCTCTCCCTCCCGGCTGGGTGGGGAGCAGGGCTCTCCAACTGGAGCACCCTCGCAGGGCTGGGAGGGGAAGGGAAGGGACTGACCCTCTTGCAATGTTTCCTTCACAGATATCCTCCAGGTTGTCCCTGAGACCTTGGAGATTTCCAGCACCAGCATCAAACTGAACTGGACCTGCAGTCTCCCGGATGCCTGCCAGCGCATGCAGGCCGTGTGCAGTCTGGCAGGGCCTTCCTCCCCTCCCTGTGAGGCTGAGGAGGTGAAGGGAGAGGAGATGCTACATGGGCAGGAGGGAACATTCACCTGTCCGCCTCTGCAGCCCTTCACTGTCTACAGTGTCACCATCTCCATGCCCCCCAGCACAATCCTTTTCATCTGGTTGGTCAGGACAAAGGAAACAGGCATGTGCACATGAGTACAGGAGAGAAGGGACAGTTCTGGGCTGTGTCACAGGTAGGGCAGGTGTATAGATGTCGCTTTCACCTGGCAGCTCAGCCTGAGCATCTGCTCCCTGCAGTGATGGTACTTTGCCTAGGGCTGTTTGGATCCTGTGGTGCTCTGGGGAAGAGTCTGTGCAGGGCCCCTCCTCACTCACCACACTGTTGCTGCTGCTGTGGCACATGCAGCCTTTGTGGGGGACAAATCCTCGCTGGCCTCATGCCTGACCCCGTCCTCTTGTGCTTCAAGTGCCAGACAAACCGGAGAAGCTGTGGCTGGATCCCAACACAGGGTCCCTCAGGTGGAAGGCTCTGCCCTCCTGCAAAGGGGAGATCATCGGATACCAGGTACCAGGGGGCCACAGAGTGCCTGTGGTGCCCCTGACCTTGCCAGGGACCTCCCTGCCTGGAGCTCTGTGCAGGCAGCCTGGGAGAGAGTGGGGAAGGGAAAACTGTGATAACCTCTGACAGTCCCCATCCAGTCCAAATGAATATCTGGCTGTGATGAGCATGAACATTTTCTGTCTCATGCTCAACATTTCTCATGGTGTGGAGCTGCCCAGAGAGTTGGTGGGTGCTCCCTGCCTGCTGGGCTTCCGCCCTGGGTCTGCCAGGCTGGGGTTTGGCAGACTGCGTCTTGGTGTGCAGCACTTGGTGACGTGTCGTCCCTGGGTGGCCTCACAGTTTCCTGTGCCTCTTGCATGCTTGTTTCAGGTTCCTGGCACAGGGAAGCCTGTGGTTTGAATTGTCTTCTGAAAACACCTATTCTTCTGAGAGAGTTGCACTGTTCCTTTGAGTTGTCTAGAAGCACCTCTTCTGTCTGTAGGTTTGGGGCTCTTTCCATGGTGCAGCCCTGCTTTCTAGTGCTGAGGGGTGGTAAGACCCTATGCCAGCTCTGAGGACAGATCTCTGTGGGGTGACAGGGACCAGGGCATGCTGGTCCCTTGTGCCCCTCTTCACTCTTTCCTGGAGAAAATGGCAAGTAGGAGCCCTGACGGCATTGCTTGTGTGTCTGTTCAAACCAGTTCCCTGCTCCCAGACAGCTCTGTTTGTGAAAAGAATCCCTTTTTCTGCTTTCAGTTAGCTCCTTTTTTTGCATATTCCCAAGATGCCATTTCCATAAAGACCCTGACAGCAGCAAGGATGGCCTGGGATCTCATGAGAAATTCAAATGATGCGTTGGCAGATGGGGGCCTCCATCTGTATCCCTTGTGGGAACTTGTCTGCCCATTTTCATGTAGACAGAGTCTTTAGGCTCCAGTCTTGCATGGGAAAAAAGAGTTGTTCAGGGCCCCTCTTGGGGATATCACCACAGTGCCTGTGTTGTTGCAATACGGTACCAGTGACCTGGCCTTGGGCTCATTACTCTTCAAACAATTGGCCTCCCTCTTGCCCTCAGCTCTTCACAGAGGCTTGGTCCTTTGCTCACAGACGCAGCCACTCTGACATCTTGAGTAGTGGCTCCAAATTCCTCCTCTCGTCCTCTTGTGTACCTTGAGGGCCACACACGGGGCCAAGGCTCCTGCTGGTTCTTCTCCAGGAGCCTTCGACAAGGGGGGCAGGCGCAGAGGAGGAGAGGCTTGCAGGGGTGCTTTTCTCTGTCTCGGTGTGCTGTGGGCAGGTTCCTAGAGGACAGGTCAGAGCTGCTGCCCTCCAGTTCGGTCCCCTATCCCCAGTTGAACATCACGGCCAGGAGTGCGCAGGACGGCGGCTTCCTGGAGATGGAGCGGCTGCGGCTGAGCAGCAACGTCACTGAGCACGGGCTGCCTGAGCACAGCCCCAGCAGCAGCTACGTGGTGACGATGCAGGGGCTCACGGCTGCCGGAGCCGGGCCTGCGTCGCTGTGGGAGTTTCAGACCAACAGCTCGGGTAAGGCTCGCTGTGTCCTGGTGCCTCCAGGGTGGCCATGACGTGCACCCTGGCTGAGGCAGCTCTCTGTCCCCAGCCCTGTGGCCCTGTGGCCATCACCAAGGAGCCTGGGCACAGAGGAGCTGTGCTCTGCAGCCTGCACTGCCCGCAGCTGCCCCTGCTCCTCACACAGCCCCTGCTGTCCTGCCCGCGGATGCTCATCCCCCAGCTCTTCCCCTCCAGGCACCGCACAGCCTCTTGACATCAGCTGCCGCAGCGTCGGTGACATCTCCCCATCCCGAGGAACGGCCGTACTTCCCCTCTATCCCATCTCCCGTCCCCCCGAGGCAGCGATGTGAGTGCAGCCCCCAGCAGCTCTGCTCTCTGTAGCCCCGAGAGGGTTTTCCCCTCTGACAGCATTTGCCCGCAGCTGCCCCCTTCCCTCTCTCCCCATCCCTGTCCCCCCTGGCCCTCTCACCTCCCGCCTTGCAGGGAGCACCAGCTGATTGTGGCCGCCACACACAACAGCACGGCGGTGGAAGGCGCCTGCTTGGGGGACCCGCAGCCCTTCAACGCCAGCCGGCAGCCCGACGCCTACGTGGCCGCCGTGATCAACCTCACCGCCCCCATGGACTTTGTGCTGGGCGAGGGGACCCGCGGGCAGGGTTTCCACAACGCTGCCCTCCAGCTGGGCTGGGACTACACGGTCCTTCTCCGCCTCGTCTGCCGCTCGCAGCAGGTACCCACCACGGGGGGTCCTGCTCTCCGGGTCGCGGCCAGCCAGGGCCGGGACCCTCGGCAGGGTCTATGGAGAGTGGCAGTGCCGCACGGGCTCTGCTCCCGGCTCCGTTGCTGAGAGCCCGGGTGCACTGGCAGGACAGTGCCCCAGGGTCCCTGGCCACAGCTGGGGCATTTGGTGGCCATGGGTGGGAGGCATTTGTCCCAGGGTGGGCAGTGGAGCAGGAGTGCCCTGAGCTCTCCCTCCCATCTTCCCCAACAGGCAGAGAAGTTCACCTGCATCTGCTACAGCTTCTCCGTTGGTAAGTGGGGTCCTCGCACCCTGTGCCCAAGCCTCTCTCCCACATGTTCATTTTTTTCCCAGCCTGGCTGCTTTCCATGGAGAGGTACTGGCTGAGCATAGGAGTGGTGGGGTCTTGTATATGGCAGAGGAAACCTTTTGTTTCCCATACATGGGATGATCCTCCATTGTAGAAGAAACCCAAGCCAAGACACTCATCTACACCATTGCATATACCCTTTGCTACTGTTGGAGCCATTGCCAGGACATGGCCCAGGCTGTGGCACCCACTCCTGGCTGTGTTAGTTGCAGGGAGCCCTCCAGACTCCTGGCACGGGACTGCGATTGGGGTGGTTGTGCTGTTGGCACTCCTCCTTGTGTCTGCAGGGATTCTGTGCTTCCTGCTTTCCAGGTGAGTACGAAGGTGACAGGCTCAGCAAGGTGATGGGAAGTGTCAGTCTTACTCAGGACTTCCCTTTGCCTTTCCAGGAAAAGGAAGTCCTTGCCCAGCAAAACTAAGGGGGATAATTTAAAAGGTAAGAAAAAAAATTTCCCTGGGCCACCATCACAGAAAGTACTGTAGGGATGAGTGAAAGCTGGGAGTAGAGCAGAGCTCTCCCAGGAGAGCCTAACCCTCAGGACAAACATCTGCTCATTCTCTTCACTGACTCACTTCCCCATTTTCCCCAGCCTTTTTGTGCCAGGGGATGGTGGGGATTGCTCTGTCCCCTGAACCCCAGGCAGCAGCAGAGCACGGCTCCAGGGAGCGCTCCCAGCCTGAAGCAGGGGTACGGAAGAGCAGAGATGGGCATCTAAAAGGGTGGCTCATGGCTCAGCCTTCTGAGGGACCCACAGCTGTGTCATCCCTCCCAGGGACAAGATCTGCTGGAAGGGGTCTCAGGAGGGTCAGGCTGAGGGATGCTGCTCTCACCTGGGCACTGTTGGGCAACTTCGGGGACCAGTGTTTGGGCACAGCTGGGATGAAGGGGTCACGCTGTGGCAGGCATGCCCTGTGCTCCAGCCTGTCTCAGACACTCATGTGCAGGCAGCTGTGGTGGCGTGAGCTCCAAAAGCAGCCAAAGGCACACAGCAGAATCTTCACTCCACAGGTGAAGGTGGCCGGGCTGGAGATCAGCCACTCCAGCCCCTGCCCAGGACCACAGGAGACATTTAGAGAAATGAAGGAGTGGAGAAGATGGGGAGAATGACCCCAGCTCAGTGCTGATATCTCTCCTGTGACTATGACCAGCACTGGGGGTCCCATACAATTCAGCAGAGCAAGAGCAAAACAGGACACCAAGGAGGGTTGTGAGCTTTTTCTTTCCTCACCCCCTTCACCTCCCAGCTTTTGTTTACTGCTATTTTAAGGCCTTTGAATGTGACTCTCTGTAGTTCGTCTTTTTTTAGGATTTGCTTTCATTTTTGCTTTCCTGGAAGCAGGAACTGTACGCCAGATTTCCCAGTCCCTGACTCACAGGGGCTCAGGCTGAGGGATGGCCCATGCTCCTGCCATATCCTGGGTTCCCAACCCCTCTCCCCTCTCTGCTGATATTCAGCCAAACCCAGGGCTCTGCTGGAGCTTGGCCTGACTGGGCTGCCTTCGTGACTCTGCCTGCTCTGTCTGGACAGTCAATAAAGGCTTGTGCTTTGGAGGGCCTGCCTGCCCCACTACAGCTCCTGCCTGGTCCCCTCATTGCCCTTGTGGGGTCATACCTCCCTGCAGGGACCTAACTGCACCCTGTTGAGGGGAGGTCACGAGCAGGGCTGCTGTGACCCCCTGTCCCCGAATGGTGCCTGACAGCTTTTCTGATCCTCAAGACCTCTGCTGAGCAGCTCTCACGTGAGTTTGGATGGGGTGCGTGGTGGGAATCAGTGAAGTGTGATGTCTGTCAATGCATATCTTGGGCAGAAGTGTGTTCTGTGCCCATGCTGTGGCCAGAGCGGAGGGACCTGTGTGCTTTCAGCTCCTTTGCAGCCTCTGTGCCAGGTCAAACCTGGAAGAAAAGTGAAGACCGGAGGTCACCACCACCATGGCCAGCACAGAGTCTTTATTGGTTGGTGATACACAGAACAGAGCTATGGCATCGGTCCTGGCTCTGAGGCCCCTTGCCCTTGAGTAGCAAAGGCAGAAACAGTCTCCGTGGTGCAGCAGCCTCTGCCAGAACAACATCCAAGATATCTAAGTTGAGCCACTACAACCTTGCCATGGTGGGGCCAGACAGGCTGGTGAGGGAGCATCTCTGGACCTGGCAGGGCTGTAGCATCTGGATCAGCATCAGGAAGATGGAGCTCCAAGAATGAATTGTATGGTGTAGGAAGGACCAGGCTAGCCCCACAGGAGTGTGGATTGTCCCTCCCTTGGCTCTTGTTAGCCTTGGGCTTCATGCTTCTCCCAAAGTAGGACAAATAGCCTATGCTCTTGAGCCCCATGGATCTTACAGAGGTTTGATGCTCCCCTAGCAAAACAGTTTGGGTGTTGGTGGAGTTACCCCTACTCTCCCTGGGGCTGTCTGAAGGAAGGAGCATGGATGGGACAGCTGGTTCTATTAATCCCTGACAGACAGATCAAGTCCTGGTGCCCCTGCTCTGCATAGTCAGGCTGTGGGTCCAGGTAAGCTTCTGTGAAAACTCTGGGCAAAGGATCAGATTCTGTCTTCAAAGCCTGATCACAACTTGGAGACAGTTCAGACTGTGCTCTCCAGCCATAGAGGACCCTTGGGGTGGCTTTTCGGGGGAGTAAAGCATCTTGGGGCTGTGCACACCCCTCTCATCTCCTCTGGTTTCCGCTGTTGCTGATAGAAGGCTGCCAGGAGTCAAAGTCCTGGCCACAGATGGGCTGTGGCCATGCCTCTACTTGAAATTCCCATAGGTTTCAAATGAATTCAAGTAGCTGAGGGCTAGTTCGTAGCAGAGCCCATACTGATCCTGTGGACAGAAGGATGCACGTGAGAACCTGGTACACCAACACCTGCAGTGGAAGGCCAGCCTTGGTTGCCAACAGCTTCCTGAGCAAGCCAGGTGCAGATACAGCCACTCTCCTCCTCCCAGTTAGAGCCCAACTTCCCCTGCTGTAACTGAGGGCTGGGCTATCCCAGTGCTGGAGCCAGGTGGTCTCGGGAGGAGAGCCAGCGTCCATGGCACAAAGCATCTGCTGCTCACTTCCATCTGGGGTGCTCACCCTGTGACGGCCTCTAGCACCCAGACAGGGTGGTGAGGTGGGTTCAGGAGAAGCGCCTGAGCACTCACAAGTGCAGCTCCCTGCTGAGCAGGCTAGGTGGACCAGAAAAGGGCAACTCAGTCTGCAGGATGCTTTGGTGCCTATATGGTTCTGCAGAACCTGCTCCTGAATGAGTGGGTATCTCCCAGCAGCAGAAAACAGGAGTTTCAGAGGTCTCATCACACCCCCCCTGGATGATCTGAGCACAGAGGTGCTAGGGCATCCGCTTCCAGAACAGTCCAGGCTTTGGCTCTTGCTCTGGTGTTGCCATTCTGTCTGGGTTTGAAGTCAGCACCTACCACATCTTTAATCAGTTGTCTCCGCCGCCTCTTCAGCATCCTCACAGCCTGGGATATATCCACCAGCCCTTCGCTTTGGATCTGCTCACACAGGAAACTAGCGGCACAGAAGATCCCACTCCGGCTGGCACCATCCCTGCGGAGGAGAGCAAGGGGAGAGTCACTTGCTCTGGGATCACCTGATAGGGCTGAGTCTCAGAGGTGTTCCACTAGACATGCAGGCTCTCAGGATGATCTTGTTCACAGATCCTGCACCCAGCCAACCTCCACAGGGAAGCCTTCCTCCCTGAACACAGCTGAATTCCTGTCCATATGTCCACCCAAGATGGAGCTGTGATCCAAGTTCACTGACACAGCCTGGGCTGAGCCAGCTCTGTGCCACAGTTGCTCCTCTGAGAGATATCACTCACCAGCAGGTGACAAGGATATGACCATGCTGGCTCTGACGATGGTGTGTCTCCACCTTCCCTAGCAGGCTGATGATTGTGGCAGGGTGTGGAGGAAGACGCTGCTGCATGGGCCAGTCCTTCAGTTGCCAGAACCGGACTTCCAGTGCAGACTTCTTGGGCTAGTGGGGAAGAAGGACAGCAGGTTAGGCAGAGAAGAAACCCCCTGGCTTAATGAAGGGAAGGGCAGGACAGTGTGTGTCAGTCCTGGCTCAGCTATGCACACTGGATCAAGGGAGCAGCTCTGCAGTGGGATCAGTCCCAGACTTTGCCTTTTTCCATGGAGTGCTCTGAGACTGGCAGATGGACATAGCATGAGATAAGAGCTGAGCACCAGGTGCAGCTCAGAGTGGTGTGCCAGTCCAGTGCCCAGATACCTGTAATAGCTGTCCCCATCCACCAGCCACCACTGAGATGCACAAATTCTATCCACGGCTCCTGTCCTCCAAGTCAGAAAGGTACACAAATGTACCTCTGCCTCGTACCTCTACCTGCAGGCTCACCCTCTTGGGACTAACCTCTCTCTCAGGCGAACGGCCCTGCTCTGGCCAGTGCCCTTCTTGGACCACATCCAACCCCTCTGACTGCTGTGGCTTCTGCCATCCCTAGCTGTGACTTTGACCCAAAATCCTGCTGATGCTGGAGCCTGGTCGGTCCTCCCAGATCTTGCAAAGGCTGTTCTCAAAGGACTTTGCCATCTCCGTGCAAAGAGCACACCTGCTGCCTGTTGGTGAGGGCAAGTGTCCAGGCTGTGAAGCCAACTCCAGACTCCTCTGAGATCAGGTGGACGTGGAAACGGCCATATGTAGCTTCACCCTGGGTGGGCCAAAACTCCACGTATGTCTAGGGGGGAAGACAGCACATGATCACATGCAGCCCCAGCCTGCACGCGTGGCAGAGCTCAGCACCTCGTGTGAGTGTGCTCACACCAGCCCCTCGCCCACACGCCACAAGTGTGCACGTGGGTGCTCTGCCTTGCTGTTTGCTGGGGACCAACCCACGGTGCTGCAGCCAGAAAAATAACACTCCTGCAGAGAGGACACCTGGTCAGGGGTAAGCAAAACCTGAGGGATGCTCCCTTGCTGTGAGACTGGGGACACCCCACCACTGTAGTGCCATGGTGGTGGGTCTGTCTGTCAGCAGGACTCTCCCAGGTGAGCCCACAGGTCTGCAGCGGGGTCCTGCAGCAAGCAGGGGGTCTCGAGAGGAGAGCTGTGCGGGGGCAAAGGCAGAAAGCACACTGCCCAGGCCCACAGGGAGCCAGGAGAGGGGAGGACTACACGTGGGCTGCTGACCTTGTCCAGCTCCTGGAGCTGGTTCAGCACAACCACTGATGTGCAGGTGTAATCCCAGACCAGAGACCAAAAATCCACCATTGTGTTGGGGAGAGGCAGCTGGGTGACGATGAGTCTGTCCTCCTCGCTGTATGTCTGCAAAACACACCAGCTGTGAGGGGAGGAAAAGGTCACAAAATCCACACCTTGAGACCCTCTCTGACAGTGGGGGTGGTTCCCCTCCTCCCTGCAGCCAAGGGTCTGCAGGGCTGGGACAGAGCCCGAGGAGAGGCAGGGCACCCCGGCCCTGCTCAGAGCAGGCTGGCACCCCGCTGCCCCCTCAGCTCATCACACCCGGGCTCTGCAACCAGCAGGCAAAGACCAGCCGCTGTGAAGCAGCCTGCTGGGCTGCCTGTGAGGCAGGGCTTAGGCTGATCACGGGGGCCATCTTCTGGCAGCAGGGTCCCAGCTGCTGGGAAGCAGTCACTGCTAAGAAGTCTCAGGGCTGGGACACCTCAAAAAGGGTAGCGTGGTCTACCCCTGCCTTGAGCAGTGGTGCCCGGGGGGGTGTCTCTGTTGCCCTCAGCAGCTCCCACCCCCGGCTGGGGCTGGAGCCTTACGTTGGCAAACACGGCGTTGATGTAACCTGGCGAGCCATCCATGTTCAGCGAGGACATCAGGATGGGCCGGCAGGAATCCGCTGTGGAGGCAAGGTGCGGAGAGAGGGACGTGATATGAGCCATCCTCGCCCCGCATGGAGGCATGGGGCTTTCCCTGCAAAGCAGTGGGGTCAGTGTGGCTCCCTGGGGCACGGGCTGGAGAGGCTGGGATGAACAGGCACCACCAGCCCCATGGCTATGAAAGCTCACGGCTGCCTGACATAGGATGTCTAAAACCCCAAGGATGCCTAAAACGGCAGAGGCAGAGAGGTGCAAGCAGTTATGAGGGTGGCCTCATCATTACTCCCTGATGTCTCATCTGGGGTCCTCCACTGGGAAAGATGAGACCCAGGGACATGTTTGTCCCTGGTATAACCCATGAATACATGCCTTCAGCAAGCCCACAAGGAAGCAGGGATGGGATCTTGCTCCCATGGAGGGACCAACCTAATATATATATATATATTACCAACCAGAAAATGACAATTGGACCTTGGGCAAAACCTGCCAGTGGCATGGTGCTGTGGAGGGAAGCAGCAGGGGAGCATCATCCCCCCTTGCTGCTCTCAGGTGCTGGGCTACAGAGCAAGGGGCTGCCCATTCCTGCCGGTGGTACCTGGCAGGATCCCTGGCTTGCGGTTCTTGGGCTGGTTGCTGGGTTTCATTGCTTCTTTGCATGGCAGCAGCTGGAACAACTCGGAAAACTTTTGCAGGGCCTGTAGGGATGATTCATCCAAGCAAGTCCTTCCTGTCAGCTCCTCCCCTTCTTCAGCCACCCCAGAGAAATGCTCCCCCATCTCCATCCCACAGCTGAGGAGGGCAGCAGTAGCAGAGATGCACCCCAGGCCAGCCCCACAGCACCAGCCCAGTGCACCAGATCCTGGCGGTACCTTGAACTCCTTCTCAAGGACATTGTTGTGCCTTGAGGTCTCAGATTCCTGAAGGCAGTGGATATGGCTGGTGATGCTTTCCACTGGGACCCCGGTGCTGCCACAGAGCAAGCCTTCAAGCAACACCTCGTAGAGGAAGGTGTACTGCTCCTGCATGAGGACATGGGTCAGCTGCATAGTCTGGAGCAGCTCTACAAAGAGCTCTGGGACTCCAGACCACCAGCTCACCAGCATCAACCAGTGCCAGGAGTGAGCCAGGTCCATCCTTCACCTTCCTGCTGTGGGGCCCTGAGGCCAGTCACCTCAGTGCAGAGAGCCCTGCTCTTGAGAAATTTCAACAACCCAGACAAAGCTATCTTCCTGTGGTTTAATACTCCCTGTCAGACCAGACCCCTGCTCTGAGGAAGGAAACCCAAAAAAACAGTGAACTAGTTAGTCCTTCTACAGGCAGCTGGATGGTCCTGACCAACCCAGTTTTCTCCAAAGGGTCCCAGCACTGAGCAGACCGTGGGGACCTAATCTCTAGGCCAGGACACTGCTGCCCAGAAGATGCCACAAGGGCAGACATCCTGAAAGTCTGAAGGACATATGGACTCTCATTCATGCTTCTTGCCTACAAGACAGCCCTCCTACACCATGTTCACTGGTACATGTGAATGCTGCTGGCTTCTCAGAGGGTCTCAGGGGAACATGGATCCTGACTAGGTTTGGCCACAAGATCCTGCAGTCTCCATCTCCTAGCAGCTCCAGTCCCTGTGGCTAGACCATGAATGGCATGGCCAGTGTGGATTTGCATATGCTACATCCCTGAGAAGGGTGGGAATCAGATATGCAGCCTGACAGTGGGCAGGGAGCAGGTAACTCCTCACCTTGGTCTGCACCATGCTGACCCGCTGCTCCCGCAGCCGCTGCACACACTGAAACACATCCACCTTCCCCTCAGCCTTCCCCATCTTCAGGAGGAAGTCCAGGGCAATGAAGGTACCTGTGCGCCCAATTCCTGCACTGAAGACACAGAAAATTGTGGGTCAGTGGTGCCCCGGCAAGCCTTGTCCCAGCACCCAAGTGCTCCCAGCCCAGTACCTGCAGTGCACCAGCACGGGTCCGGCAGGCGCTTCCAACACCCTCTTGTTCACCATCTCCACTAAGCACAGGAGCTGGGCAGGGTTTCTGGGGACTCCGTGGTCTGGCCACAGCTGGTAGTGAAACTGCTCCACCAAGCTTGGGAGAGCACAACCTGCCTGCAAAGGGGGAGAGATGGCTGGGAGCAGGTAGCAGGAACCAGCCTGGAAACTTGGATGAAGTAATTGCATGCCAACAAGTAGGGAGTAAACCACTTCAGGGGGGCACCGGCACAGAGTATTCCCCCCCAGCACCCCTGCTGCAATGACTGCTCCATTATAGCTCATCAGACAGCAAAGGGCAAATTCACCCAGCACACAGCCACACAGTTCACTATGTTCTCTGCTTCCCTGTGCTGTGAGCAGCAAACTCAAAAGTAGTAAATGCAGCCTGTGCCCCAGAGGAAAAAAAAAAAATAAAATCACAATTTAGAGTGTTTCCATAGTCATTGAAAAGCCTTGGCTTCCCCAAAGAAGGTATTTCCTAAGGCTGGTACTGCACTGATGTGAATATAGTCACTTTTGTTACCAGACCATCATGTATTTTTCCCTAAACATCACATTCACTTGGCCTGAACTAATGAACTGCTTATGTCCTACCATCAGGTGCTCTTGGACGTCTACCTTTCAGATAGACTTTGCTCTGGGCGAGACAAGAAAAGACAAGAATATGCATAACTGCAATTTCTTTACATTGTACATGTTTTCCCCTCCTTGCAGATCCTTCAGGTTTCTGCTTATTGTTTGTGGTATCACTTCAGCAGAAGTACCTGTCTTGAGAAATGTCATTATGTAAGTTATCTTAAACCATAAACTATCTATACAGGTTTAGCAGCTGTAAATGACCTCGGATCTTCAATGTGGACCCTCAGCAGACTGGCCCAGGTGACAGGCAGGCACCAGTCCCATCATCCTGGATGTAAAGAGGTGCCATTTTATACCCTTTAATTGCCTTTATAGCCTTTGTGATCACCTCATCCAAGCTCTCGAGGGTGCACGATCTGTCCATGTACATCATCAGTCCAGACTCAGCTGAGGTGACCACTGCAGCTCACCAGTTGCCTTTGCCTGGCACAGAAAACTGGGGCTGATGCCTTGTCATAGCTCCCAGTGATAGCAATGCTGACCTGTTAGTCCTGGAGGCCAGGCAGGGCTCCCCACAACATCTCTTGGCTGACAACTTCCACCAGCTGTTGAAACCCAAAAACTTTGTGCATCCCCATGTCAGCTACACACCAGGTTTACCTTCTGCAGGCAGAAGATGCGTGTGACAAGGCCTGTGGTGGTCCTGATGTTGTTGAGTGTCACGGTGAACTCCCCGTAGACCTGCTCCTGCTCTGGCCAATACTGCTCGCACTTGGTCTGTCAACAGCAGCGAGACCGCTAAGCACGAGCAAACTCATGAGGGGAGTGTTGCAAGCCAGCAGTGGTGTGGAGCTGCTCCCTGCTCTCACTGACAGCTGCACTGGGAGCAAAGCAAAGCAAAGCAGGCAAGGAAGCCTGGGCTCTGGGGACTCCCAAGCTGAGCACAGGCTGAGATGGTTTCTCTACCTTGTTCTGCTCCACTAAGCCTGTCAGCATCACAATGACTGAGATCTTCTCCTGCCAGACCATCTGCCAGAAATCCAGCACTGTCCCAGGCAAGGGGCCTTGAGGAGAAAGAGGAGAGCCCTGTGCCAATGTCCAAGCCATGGGGGGTATAGCTGCTCCCACCACAACTCAGATGTTCCCAGGCTATGAACAGCCCTGGGCTTCCCTCTGCTCAGGAACAAACTGCACAGCCTGGGAACAGCAGCACCTGACAGGGCGGGATGGGTGGCTTCATCTCCCCTGTTAGAAATTGGGACAAGGAAGAGGGTGGGCAGGTGAGCCCAGGATATATCAGGAATTCACTGCTGCTTCAGGCACTTCCCCATGCAGACCCTCAAGACGACTGTGAGCCGCTCCCACATTTAGGCTCCTATTTCCTGAAGAACATTTCTGCAGCTTTGCAAGGAGCCGGAGGTCTTCTCACTGCATGCTGCACAGAACAGAATAACCCATCCTGGCATTGCACCACTGGATGCAGCCTGTCTCTGAGAGCACTGAGTGCAGATGTGTCAGGCATTTGCAGGTTTGTCCCTGTCACGCCAGCTGTCAAAGGGAACAAAGCAAGCTTGTGGGTTAAAGGACTGTGTCTTCAGGCTGGGTAGTGCAGGGATCATCTCCAGCTGGCCACTACCAAACTGACACCGAGGCCTTCCATGCCCTGCAGCAGCTGTAACCACCATTCAAGACAGAGGCCCAGGCAATACAAGGCCTTGGACTGGGGCGTTAACAGATCTTAGGCTGCTGTCCCAGGTCCCCACTCCCCAAAGTGATCAGGGCAGCAACTGGCATCTCCTGAGCATGAGGGCTGGGAGCACCCACCTTGAGCTGCAATGAAGAAGCGTGAACTCCGGTAGCTCTGTGGGGAAGAGGTTCAAACAGCTCTGATCACATGGGTTAAATGTTTAACAGGGAATGAAATAAAGGACCCATCCCCACAAGCAGCAGAGCCCAGAGCCCCTGGCACAGCATGTCCCACAGCACTGAGAATAGGTACCCAGAGGCCGGATCTAAGCTTCTGTCCCCTCACACGGGTCCATTTTTGTTAGAAATGAGAACTGCACACAAACCCAGAGTACTCCAGGCAGCTTAGAGAGGACTCAAGGAGAGTGACATCACAAGATCTGCCAGCACTTGAGGGCAGCAAGTGTCAGACCTTGGGGCCAGCCATGTGAGCAGCACTCTCCTCAATGAGAGCAGACAGGCACCTCTCCTCCCCAGCCCAGGCATCTCTACCCTGTCCAGGGCAGCAATTCCATGCGACCTACATCCACGTAGCTGGCATTGATGTAGCCATTCCCCATGTCAGAGCGCTGCAGCACCACACGGCAGTGATCGTCTGAAAGAAAAGGAAGGTGGGAGCCAGTGGACCATCTCTTCAGGGCAGCAGAGTGACTGCTTAAGGAGGGGGATGTTATATTGGAAAGTCCAGGATGGTCTGCTCCCTCCTCAGGACATTTTCAGAGATAAAGAGCAGATAATGAAAAGAAAGGTGACATGGCACAGCAGGAAATACAACATGCTTTTGGGGAAGACTGTTAATGCAGTGACCAAATGTCCACACCATGTGGGGCCCAGAGGAGCTTTAAATTTTGATAGAAACTGGTTCACTCCCTCCACTTTCCAACAAATAGCCACGTCTGGATGGGACAGGACATGACTAACAACAGGAATAGGAATGCAGTGATGAATGATTAAGCTTACAGGAAGATTTGAGGAGCAGAACAAGGATACTTCAACTGGACATAAAACAGTGGGGCCAACATGATGATTTTGGAAAATGCCTCTGGCCACAAAGGATGAGATGAGGAGCTCAGCACTGCTGATGAGCTGGAGGGGCACGTACACCAGCCCAGCACCTGTCCTGCCCAACCACCTCCAAGTGGCTATGCCAACCCCTGGTGAGCTCTGCTTACACGGGATGATGCTCTTGTAGCGGTTCTTGCTCTGATTACACAGCTCCTGCCCGGCATCACAGGGATGCAACAAAGTGGAGGACAATTGCTGCAGAGGAAGAAGACAAGCCCACTCTGCATTATCAAGTGTTCTGGGGCTGACCAAGGCCAACTGCACCACACACCCAAGGAAGGGGTGAGGGCTGGGTGGACAGTGCAGCCAGGTGGGAAAGCAAAGCTAAACCAGACCTGATACTCTCTCAGACGCCCAGCACCATGCCTGTTGTCTGATTCATCCTCTGTCTGCTCTGCCTCTATTTCTGCCCTCTTAAACCTCTTCAGAGCCTCCAGCAGTTCCTCCACTGGGATCTGTGTGTTCGGCTTGCAAACACCTAAGAAGACACCGGGGCCAGTTTAGCATGCGCCTCGTGGCTGGCATGGAGCTCTGCAGCTGGGACTGAGCTGGCATTGTTGTGGCCAGGACCCCACCAAACTCCAGATTGTCCCTCCCCACTCAGGTCCTTTTCTCCTGGAAGGCATCCTTTTCCCAGTGCCAGACAGTTCTGATTCCCTTGTTCCTGTAAGGACTTTACAGAGACTGTAAACACTGTGGCTGTGCTTTTAACAGACAGTCTGTCCAGACCAGGCATGCAGAGCTCTGCTCATACTGCACCTCCTTGACATCTTCGCAGGGGGATAGTGCTGTTGTTCTCTGAGTTCTTTGAATTGTTGTACTTTCTCCTGCAAAACAGCAAGTCAGGCACATAGACCAGCAGAATAGAGAGAAAGAGGAGAAGCTGTTGCCCATGTAACAGCCCTGCCTAGCACCTTGCTTTATCTCAGAGTCCACTTGGACACTCCCTGTCAGTGCAAGGTGCTGGATGCCTCACAGAGAGCAGGAAAGATGGGATACATACTGACCTGAAGAGCACTAAGAGTAGCAAAATCCCCAGTGCCAGGAGTGTAACGATCAGCACTACTGCCACAACCATGGGCATCCCTCCCAGCAGAGGCCATGACTCCTGCCCTGCAACTAGCACAGACTAGACTCAGGCTCCTGCTCAGCCAGAACCAGGAGAGTAGCATTGAACTGGAGAATAGCTAAGTTGGAGCAGAAAAAATAGGTGATTTCGTGGTGTGATAGCCTCCAATGTGGGCCCTGTCTCCCTGACTGCCCCAGGCATGGACAGAGCCTGGTGAAGTGTTTCCATTTCTGGGCTTCAACATGCATCAGGGGAGTACTAGGACTAAGATGCAATGGTAGCAGAGATGATGCATGGTGTCCCCCTGCCATTGGTACCACAGCTGCCCAAGTGACCAGGGGTTACCCAAAGCCCATCTACCATAGATAGCTTCAAGATACAGAGAACTTCCACAAAGATGAAAGTAGGAAAATGAGACCAGACCACTCCTATGCTCAGCCAATTCCTCTCCATGGAAAGCAGTCAGGCTGGGAAAAAAAGTAAACATGTGGGAGAGAGGCTTGGGCACAGGGTGCGAGGACCCCACTTACCAACGGAGAAGCTGTAGCAGATGCAGGTGAACTTCTCTGCCTGTTGGGGAAGATGGGAGGGAGAGCTCAGGGCACTCCTGCTCCACTGCCCACCCTGGGACAAATGCCTCCCACCCATGGCCACCAAATGCCCCAGCTGTGGCCAGGGACCCTGGGGCACTGTCCTGCCAGTGCACCCGGGCTCTCAGCAACGGAGCCGGGAGCAGAGCCCGTGCGGCACTGCCACTCTCCATAGACCCTGCCGAGGGTCCCGGCCCTGGCTGGCCGCGACCCGGAGAGCAGGACCCCCCGTGGTGGGTACCTGCTGCGAGCGGCAGACGAGGCGGAGAAGGACCGTGTAGTCCCAGCCCAGCTGGAGGGCAGCGTTGTGGAAACCCTGCCCGCGGGTCCCCTCGCCCAGCACAAAGTCCATGGGGGCGGTGAGGTTGATCACGGCGGCCACGTAGGCGTCGGGCTGCCGGCTGGCGTTGAAGGGCTGCGGGTCCCCCAAGCAGGCGCCTTCCACCGCCGTGCTGTTGTGTGTGGCGGCCACAATCAGCTGGTGCTCCCTGCAAGGCGGGAGGTGAGAGGGCCAGGGGGGACAGGGATGGGGAGAGAGGGAAGGGGGCAGCTGCGGGCAAATGCTGTCAGAGGGGAAAACCCTCTCGGGGCTACAGAGAGCAGAGCTGCTGGGGGCTGCACTCACATCGCTGCCTCGGGGGGACGGGAGATGGGATAGAGGGGAAGTACGGCCGTTCCTCGGGATGGGGAGATGTCACCGACGCTGCGGCAGCTGATGTCAAGAGGCTGTGCGGTGCCTGGAGGGGAAGAGCTGGGGGATGAGCATCCGCGGGCAGGACAGCAGGGGCTGTGTGAGGAGCAGGGGCAGCTGCGGGCAGTGCAGGCTGCAGAGCACAGCTCCTCTGTGCCCAGGCTCCTTGGTGATGGCCACAGGGCCACAGGGCTGGGGACAGAGAGCTGCCTCAGCCAGGGTGCACGTCATGGCCACCCTGGAGGCACCAGGACACAGCGAGCCTTACCCGAGCTGTTGGTCTGAAACTCCCACAGCGACGCAGGCCCGGCTCCGGCAGCCGTGAGCCCCTGCATCGTCACCACGTAGCTGCTGCTGGGGCTGTGCTCAGGCAGCCCGTGCTCAGTGACGTTGCTGCTCAGCCGCAGCCGCTCCATCTCCAGGAAGCCGCCGTCCTGCGCACTCCTGGCTGTGATGTTCAACTGGGGACAGGGGACCGAGCTGGAGGGCAGCAGCTCTGACCTGTCCTCTAGGAACCTGCCCACAGCACACCGAGACAGAGAAAAGCACCCCTGCAAGCCTCTCCTCCTCTGCGCCTGCCCCCCTTGTCGAAGGCTCCTGGAAAAGAACCAGCAGGAGCCTTGGCCCCGTGTGTGGCCCTCAAGGTACACAAGAGGACGAGAGGAGGAATTTGGAGCCACTACTCAAGATGTCAGAGTGGCTGCGTCTGTGAGCAAAGGACCAAGCCTCTGTGAAGAGCTGAGGGCAAGAGGGAGGCCAATTGTTTGAAGAGTAATGAGCCCAAGGCCAGGTCACTGGTACCGTATTGCAACAACACAGGCACTGTGGTGACATCCCCCACAAGGGGGGCCCTGAACAACTCTTTTTCTTCTCATAAGTCATGACAGCCTTCCCTTCCCCAATTTCCCCAGGCTGCCTGCACAGAGCTCCAGGCAGGGAGGTCCCTGGCAAGGTCAGGGGCACCACAGGCACTCTGTGGCCCCCTGGTACCTGGTATCCGATGATCTCCCCTTTGCAGGAGGGCAGAGCCTTCCACCTGAGGGACCCTGTGTTGGGATCCAGCCACAGCTTCTCCGGTTTGTCCGGCACTGGAAGCACAAGAGGACGGGGTCATGAACAATATCAACAAGAAGTTTGATCCCAGAGCAGAGTTCAGGCGTCTCCTGGGGAAACAGACTGCAAAGTGACCCCCTAAGCAGGATTTGTCCCCACAAAGGCTGCATATGCTACAGCAGCAGGAGCAGCAACAGTGTGGTGAGAAGGGGGAGAGTGAGGAGGGGATGTGCTGTGCTCCAGGGACTGCACAGCCCCTTTTCCAGAGCTGCAGAGGCTCTAAACATCCCCGATGGCAGTACTATCACTGTAGGGAGCAGATGCTCAGGCTGAGCTGCCAGGCAAAGGGCCCATTTACATTTCATGTAGGTGGACACATACTTGTTTCCTTCGTCCTGATGAGTTGTGTGTACAGGATTGTGCTCGGGGGCAGGAGGATGCTGACATTATAGACAGTGAAGGGCTGCAGAGGGGGACAGGTGAATGTTCCCTCCTGCCCATGTAGCATCTCCTCTCCCTTCACCTCCTCAGCCTCACAGGGAGGGGAGGAAGGCCCTGCCAGACTGCACACGGCCTGCATGCGCTGGCAGGCATCCGGGAGCCTGCAGGTCCAGTTCAGTTTGATGCTGGTGCTGGAAATCTCCAAGGTCTCAGGGACAACCTGGAGGATATCTGTGAAGGAAACATTGCAAGAGGGTCAGTCCCTGCCCTTCCCCTCCCAGCCCTGCGAGGGTGCTCCAGTTGGAGAGCCCTGCTCCCCACCCAGCCAGGAGGGAGAGAAACCAAGAGGCTGAAATTGGTCACTCCAGCTCTCTGGTAGGGGAGCAGCAGGAGTTTGGGGTCGTGGTGTGCTCAGAAGCAGAAGGTGACCTTTTCGGAGAATTCCCCCAGTGGGACAACTGCCCCCATTCATTCAAACATCAGGACATGTTGGGGACAACAAAAGGAAGCACAGGACAGTGTGTCCCCAGCTGGGCTACATCACAGCTCACACGGAGGAGCATGGGGTCCTTCTGCCCTCACGCCCTTGGAGGTCTGTGGTTTCAGTCAACCTTTGGTGCCATGGGAGACCACAATGGGGCACATTACACCTTGGCCTTGCAGGAGCTACTTCTACAGTCATCAAACCTCACAGCACTGGCCCCAAGGGAAAACCATGACCTTCCCATACTGACTCTCACCCAGACACATTCCCAGCATTCTGCCCCTGCAAAGGACCATCCTGCCCCTGGTTCCTCCCTTACCGATGCACTTCACGCTGGAGTGAATGTAGATCCAGTCACCTCTGATGTTTCTTCCCTGCCAAATCTCTCTGTTTACAGGTTTCCCATCACTGATGGTCTGACCTTCACTCCAACATTTGATTTTGGTGAAGGATGGCTGGAAACCCTCAGGACAGCTCAGCGTCACTTCCTCGTTCTTCTTGTAATTCTTCCGGTCTGGTACCAGTTGGATTCTTGGGTCTCGCCAGGGCCTTTGGCACATTTCTGACAGAGGTGAAAGTGAGTGTTAGTTGGGCTGGGAGGTGACAAGCTGGGTCAGGGCTGGGTGGTGGGCTATTGGCAATCACTCTGTTTGGGGCAGAGTGGGGCAGTCAGGAGAGCTCCTGATGCCTCCCTTACCAATGCAGTCAAGTCTGGACTTAATGTGGATCCAGCCACCTCTGATGTTTCTCCCCTGCCAAATGTCTCTGTTTACAGGTTTCCCATCACTGATGGTCTGACCTGCACGCCAGCATTTGATTTTGTTGAAGGATGGCTGGAAACCCTCAGGACAGCTCAGCATCACTTCCTCGTTCTTCTTGTAATTCTCCCGGTCTGGTACCAGTTGGATTCTTGGGTCTCGCCAGGGCCTTTTGCACATTTCTGACAGAGGTGAAAGTGAGTGTTAGTTGGGCTGGGAGGTGACAAGCTGGGTCAGGGCTGGGTGGTGGGCTATTGGCAATCACTCTGTTTGGGGCAGAGTGGGGCAGCCAGGAGAGCTCCTGATGCCTCCCTTACCAATGCAGTCAAGTCTGGACTTAATGTGGATCCAGTCACCTCTGATGTTTCTCCCCTGCCAAATCTCTCTGTTTACAGGTTTCCCATCACTGATGGTCTGACCTGCACGCCAACATTTGATTTTAGTGAAGGACGGCTGGAAACCCTCAGGACAGCTCAGCATCACTTCCTCGTTCTTCATGTAATTCTCCTGATCTGGTACCAGCTGGATTCTTGGGTCTCGCCAGGGCCTTTGGCACATTTCTGGCAGAGGTGAAATTGGAGCATGGTTAGGCAGTAGAATGGAAATCCCCAGCAATCAATCCAGACCCTGAAGGGAGATGGAAGGTGACACATCCATCTGCCAGGATGTTACACACATGCAAGGCATGTTTGGAGGACGCTCTCCTTGTGCACCTGAAGCATGAAGGGTCATTCATCCATGAACCTCCCCTCCCACCCACTTCTGCTCATGGACATTGTTAGTCATCTCCCACAGCTCACACAGGGAGGTTTCAACATCTCTCCCTGCCCATCTCCCTGAGCACTGGGCTGCCTGTGCACAGCCTTCCCCACACTCAGCACATCTTTGTTCCTGCCTGGGGCAGACCCACATCCCCACCACCTGGGGGAAGGCATTGCTCTTCCCCCAGGTGCATCCCTCACAGACTCCAGCCCTGATGCCAAGGGCTGACCCAGCCCCAGGCACTCAGGGCTCCCTTCAGCCCCCTCCACTACAACTCCTGGGGCTTCAGGAGATGTCCCTGGGGTCACCTGCACAGGCAGGTAGGGGGACAAGCGGATCTGTGCACTCCAGGGTGGCAGCTGGAGGTGCAGCAAGGATCATGGCACCTCCGTGCACTTCAGTACTGGCCCCAGATCCTGCCCCAGGCCCTGGCACCCATCTGCGGGGCCCCAAGCTTGACCTTGCTCAGGAAACACTGCAGGAACTGCCAGCCTGCCTGGCTGGCACTACCTTGTCTCTTGTCTCCTGGCCAGGCTGTCCTCTTCAACAGTTTGCACAGGCAACACAGCACCAAGGGACTGTGGTGTGCCTGCAGCTTAGCTGGGCAGCATCACGACTGGCTATTAAGGGTGAAGGTAGAGAGGGGTAGAGAGTTGCTGCTGTCTCACTTACCAATACACTCTACAGTCCTCTCAATGCGCATCCAGGCACCTGTGATGTTCCTGCTCCACCACGTATCTCTATAGAGTGGTCTTCCAGAGCTGACTTGCACCAATTCACTTGCACATTTGACCTTGGGGAAGGATGGCTTGAGACCTGCATGGCAGGTCAGTGTCAGTTCTACATTGCTTTGGGAATAATCTTTGTTTGATAGAAACTGTAGTTTTTCATCCCACTGGGGTTTTTGGCACATTCCTGTCAGGGAGAAAGTGTGAGAGTCCTTCTCAGGGACAGGGGATGTTCAGGCAGGAGGGGGACCAAGGCTTTGCTATGACTAACTGTGGTGTCAGCATTCAACACCATGAGGAAACCCAAGAGCCCCCAAGTGCAAGAAAGGAGTGTGTGTCTGTGCAAAGCAGTGATATAGGACACTGGGAGAGAGGTGAACTGAGGGGCGGGATGTGGCCTCCTCCAAATTCTCCATAGCCTGCAACTGACGAACAGACTGGGAGGAGATGTAGGCACAGTGAGAAAACCCATTCCACATAGAAATCCCTCCCCATCTTGGAGACTGGTCCCAGCTGGGGCCCGTCTCTGAGCTGTGGCCAAGGCATTTTGTGGATATAGCAGAATGACCAGGATCCCTCCTTGGGGAAAGGTGCATGTAGCAGGGAAGACCTGCTGATCCTCCACTTACGTGTGTGGCACTCCAGGTTTTCTATTACCCCATGCCATGTTCCCTGAATGTCCTTCACCTCCCAAGCATCCTTCCAAACTGAAGAGGTTTCTTTTGCACATCTGATCACAGCAAGGGGAGGAGAGTCCTCTGTAAAGCAGCTCAGTGTCACCTCGTCATTGGGCCCATAAAACCACTTTTCTGGGACAAAGTGGAGTCTTGAGTCCCACTGGGGTTTCTTGCATGTGTCTGCACAGAGGAGAAGGAGCGGATATAAGCAGGATGAGAAAGGGTCTGCTGTGGGGTCTATTGCCTTGATTTTGACACTGCCTAGCTCCTTTGGTTACTACATGCAACTCCAAATCCCTCTCTTGCAGCCTAGAGCAGAGCTGAGGGTGGCAGCAGGCCACCCCAAGAGCTGTCCCATCCATCCCTCCCACTCAGACTCCATTCAGGTAAGACTGACCAGGGGACTGGGATCCTCCTTGGACTTCACACAGAGGTCCTTCCACTCCCACCACCTCCACCATATGCCCAGACACTGTTTGAAGGTATGGGGCTTATACTAGTCCCTAGTGCTGGGACCTTTGTTTCTGCCTTTTAACTCCTCCTCAGGAGCACAGACCCTGGCAGCTGCCCGCAGCAAGGTGCTGAGATAAAAGATGCCCTGGCACTGACAGGACAGGGCAGAAAGCCAAGGCATCCAGGTCTCCCATTCCTGGACTGTCACCCAGGTGGGGCTGAAGCACGACCATGTCACAGAGGGTCTGTCACCAGCTCAGGACCCTGGGTCAGGGTGATGTGGGGCTGTGCTTACCCTTGCAGGTAGCAGTCCCATTCCACAAGGTCTGGGGCCCGTTGGAAATACATCTGATCTCAGGGACCGATGGCACATACTCCCCAGCACAGCTCAGCTGCACCAAATCGTTCAAGGCATAGCTGCTCTGGTGTGGGGTAAACTGCAGCTTGGGGTCCCAGTCGGAGGGAACTTTACATCTTCCTGTGTGCAAAGGACATGAGGGAGAGCCCTGAGGGTCACTGGGCTCCGGCAGTGTCCTCGGCGGTGAGGAGTCCCCACCCAGAGGGCTGCAGGTCCCCCTCACTGCTGAGGTGTGGCAGAGATGAGAACCTCTCAGGATGAGGCCCCAGATCCCAGGTGCATTAACCCTCCCTGCACCCTCGGGCCCTCCTGCCCACCCAAGTGCTGTGGAGGCATCCCAGCCAGTGGGAAGCAGCGGCCCGGTGGATGCTGCTCTCTCCTGCGCTCTCTCCCCCAAAGACAGGGGCTGTGGAGTGCACCAGACCCAGTGAGTCTCTGTTGGCACCACTCACCTGCATTCCCGTCATCTTGCTGGGCACTACCCACTCACACCCATGTGCACACTTACTTGAAGCAAAAGGCCACTCTAGCTGCTGATTCACTTCTGCTCTGCAGGTTACGCTTTTTGTTTTCTCCTCTCCATCCCTTGTCCAAAATTCCCGCTGGCTCCTAGGATGGGGTACATCCTGTCCCATGTCCCTCCCACCCTCACCCAGGATGGGCATCACCCCCATGTTTGTCTTGGCAGAAAGTCTTTAACCAGCTGCATGTTTGGTTGCATTTTGCAACATGTAGTTTGGGCAGTTCATGGAAGTAAATATTCATATTTGTTTTCCATTAGTTTCTAGGCAGGAGTGCTGCTGTCTATCTGCATGGCACTAATTTGGGTTTCTCCCCTCTGACCAGACACCAATTTTCATGTAATAAGAAATGTATCCCTTTGTGAGCAGTCTTCATCCAACAAATTCAGGTGTAAGTACACACACATTGTCCACAGTTACCGAAGTGCCACCAGGCTGCCACAGTGACTTTGCACTGCCTCCCAGCACACTGAAATGGCATCAGGGCTCACCATGAAACCATGATTGCTTTTGCCTCCTCATGCAGCAGGCTAACAGACCACAACAGCTGCATCATCTCAGCCAGAATAAATCTCCTGCCAAATAAACAGAATAAAATACCACCAGACAGGCAAACTGAGCTGCAATGACGTCAGGCAGGTGAGATCTATTTGTGAAGGCATTTCTAGCTTTCATTTTGCATTTCAGGACCCAAAATCATGTCTGTACAAAGTTTATTCATCGACGGGTATCCTTCCAGCCTAGAGTCAGAGCAGAAATGTGGGAAATGGTTGCTTGAAAAGAGGTCTGTGGGGCCTGACGCCAAGCAAGAAGCAGTTTGAGGGAATGAAACCTCTCCAGTGGAGACAGCACCAGGAGCCAAATGGGCTGCAAGTGCTCACAGGCATGGCTGACCTCTCCCAGACTGCACCTGCCTTGACCTTCAATGCAAAGGGGACTCCTTGCTTTTCCTTTTGCAAGTGCATCCATACCTCTTGGTAGCTGATACAGTCCCTGCAGTGACACAAAACTCAGCAGCAGCACATGGCAACCTGCTGGGCAGGAAATGAGGAGGAAAACAGAAATTGTCCTTCATGTGCAACCTGCTGACAGGTGCAGATTTCGAAAGATATCTGGGACAATGGTTTCCTACAAACACCAGCAGAGGCTGGCAGGGGTGGTGGAGCTGTATGCCAGAGCTCTCCCTTGCTCCCAGACCTGCAACCCGCACCCCACCCCCGACCCTCTCACCAAAACTTTCAGTGCCCTTCATGTAGCAAAGCATTAGGTGCTGATACAGCCATGAATAAACCTCGCTAGAGGTTTTCAGCCTTGTATGGTGCTCCCTCACAGAGGCATGGGGTAACGCTGTGTTTGAAAAGCCCACATCTCATGGTTGCTGCTTTAGAGGTGTAATAATGTACAGTAAGTACATGCAGACTTACTGTAGCACAAAGGAGAATTAGTCTTTGTTTAAAGTTTATGCTTTTTTTTTTTAAACTAAAAGGTGAAGCTTCTGCGTGCTGATTAGGCATATTCAGCATTATACTAATTATTGTTGACAGGCATTTAGGACTGATTCAGCCTTTCCCTCAGTTATGGACAGTTCACTAAAGTACAAGCAAATAGGTGCTGTGTATGAAGGGATCCTTTGGACTGAGCTGGCACAACAGCCACATATTTCTGACTAGGCTGGCCACCTTCTCTTAAACCTGGGATTTATCAGCCCTAACCCTTTGCCAGAGATGTCACCAACTTTTCCCTTTTCAGAAGAAAAGGGCCTGGCAGAGGGACCTTTTTGCTTCCTCAGTCCAGGAGGTCAGTGTCTACTAGGAGGGGGTGGCAGAATGCTGCTGTGATCCAACGTGGTTTCCACAGTGGCATCAGGCAAGGGCAGACAGCTGAAACATGCTTCTGCCAAGACCACACGTGTGGCAGTGGTGTGCCGGTGGCCATGTTTGCCCTTCGGGTACAAGGACTATGCTGGTGAGCGGTCTGGCTGTGCCTGCAGAGACCCTTGCAGATGCCAGCGGGTGGCCTGTCCTCTGCAGCTTGTCCTCTCCCTTCCCAGACTTCTGAGCTATGGGTGTGGTCATTTGACCCCTTTTCTTCTGCCCTGCAGGCTCCCCTGTGCCAGATGTTACCCTGTGCCTGGGGCAGACAGGGGCTGAATCCATCACCCAGACCCAGGCTGGGCATGGACCATGAAGGGCAGAGCCTGAGGTCTGGGTGGGAGAGAGAAAGGCAGCTCATCTGCATCCCCAGAGGAGCCAGAGCCTGGAGAGACTGCTGTAGGACAGTGCACCAGCCTCAGAAATTAGCCTGTGAATTAATACTGTCTGACAGAGGGACAGGTATAAGAAAATGAGCTTGCTTGCCTTGCAAAGGGGTAGTGCACACCAGCAGGACAGCCTGGGAGGATGCCAAAACCTATTTACCTCCTGTATGCATCCTGCTAGCAGCGCCCATGCCATCAAAGTCCCTCCAGGCCTTACCTCCTACCCACATCCCTGCTGCTGCACTGGAGCTGAAGACGTGCAGAGTGTCACACGCTGGTACCATCTGCATTCAGACGTCTGCAGCCACTTGGAGCCCTTTCTGGTGGCATTTCTGATGACCACTTGAGGTCAAAGCCTAGACATTAAAGTCTCTGCTTCCTCACAGAAGGGGGAAGAGAAGACACTTCCAGTCCACATCTGTTTTTGTCTCAAGAACATTGATGAATACAATCCAAATCAACCTCACTTCTAGCCTAGCCCAAGCCTAGCAGGCATGTGATTACCACTTGAAACTCACTGGGAGAAGCTAATCCATGACTGCTGAGTGAGGTCAAGATGCACAGGCTAGGGGGAGCACCTCTGTCCTCGCCCTTTTACTTTCACTCCTTCCCCAACCACTCCGTAATATTTGACATGGGAAAAGAGCTCCTTGGAGCCAAGGAGACTTTGCTCTAATGCAGGGTGGCTGTTTGTGTGCTGTGGTGGTGGCCACGTGAGGCTGTGTGGCACACACGAGGCAGAGAGTGTCAGATCTCCAGCAGGCTGGAGCTTATCAATTATAAAAAGGACGTGGATGCACATGCCTGTGTGCGGGGGAACTGGGCACTGCTGAAGAAGGGAGGCTGCTCACAGACAAAGGGGAAAGAAACACTCATCTTCTAGCCTTCTAGGGACTAACAGCATCCGGAAGAATAAAGAAACAGTCATCAGACACTGTTTTTCACCCTGCACCGTGGTATGCAGAGAGCCGCCCACAGACTCTCCGCCCCCAACGGTAGGAAAGAGGCTGAGACAAGTGAAATTTCAGCATGGAAAATATGGTGTAGATGTGAACAAACAAGCACCTCTTATAATGTGCAATGTGTGCTCACTGCAAAATGGAGAATGCTGAATGCCAAGGCAGGAGTGGTGACAAAAGGTTGGTCTATTTGCCTCACATAGTCAGACATTTAGTACTACAGGGTATTTTTTTCTCAGTTGATGCTATTAAATGAATACCCTCCTTGTTAATATTGTTTAATACTGATGAATATAGAAAGCATTTTACAGAAATGTCTGCACTGCCCATCCATGCTGCAAAGAATTTATGAGTCTGGCAGGCAAAACAAAGAACCGGCATGCCCTAGAAGAAGATGTCGGGGACAATCAGAAGAAAAGAGAGAAAGCTATGCTGGTAATTCAGGTCAGACTCCTGGTTTCAGCCCTTTGCTTACCTCAGCAAAAGATGTACTTCCTTACATTGTATTATCCCATACACAAAGAATAAAAGACAAGGTGAAATCTAAGGAGCAGCAGGCAAAGTTCAACCCTTTTCCCATGACAGCACATCAGCTAACAGAGGCAACAGCAAAATGCGATGGAGTCTTGCTGTGTTTGATGCCATGTGCTTGCTGAGAGGAGCTAAGAAAAGCAACTACTGTTTCCACCAGTGAAGAGTGGTGCTGCAAGCCACTGAGAAGATGTGCACAGGTCTTAAAGCATCTCTGTACTCACTGCTAGCAACCAAAGCTGCCAAATGGGTCTTTAAGAGCAAGCAATGGGCAGTGCGAGGGTGGGGAAAGGGCAGAGAAACCTCAGGGCTGCTCTGCATGGGAGCATGCCAGGGAAAGGAGGTGGAGAAGCAGGTCACTGAACAAGGCACTGTGGGAGATCAGGGGAATGGTGGCACTTTGACCTGTACTGCTCCGCCATGCAAAAGCACATCTGACAGGATTTTAAGAGCCCGAGGTGAAATACTTGTTTCCTGGATCTGTGCTCTGGTGATGGGAAGTGGAAGCACGGTGGAGTGCCAAGTTCACAGCCCCAAGGGTGTCAAGCCCCAAGGTGCTCCTCTGCAGTGTATCTTAGTGTTTGTGTTCCCCACAGGATTTAGTCTAGGCACTGTTTGAAATTCAAGTCCCACTTTCAGATTAAGTGTGGCCTTATTTTACTTAGCACCCTCCCACCCACTGGGCATTGTAGCTATGCTCCTAGTTAGGGTTCCCTGTAGCTGCTACTACATCACTGCATAATGTCAAGCAAGGCTGGTGAAAGAGTGGCCAGGACCAGCCTGGATCACAGACCCTAACTCTGCAGGGAAAACATTCTTCACCTGCCTCCCAGGTACACTGGGACTATAAGGAGATAAAGCTTTTGTACAGGTGTGGCAGGAGAAAAACCCTGTAAGAAACAGCACAGCAAGACAATAAGGTGAACAATAGGACAATGAGACAATGCATGCTGCTCAGTGCACGGTGCCCCTGTGACAGGGTGAGCAGAGCAGCAGTGCTGTGCTAGCTCACACTTGTACCACATGCACCAACCACATCCTCCGTCTGCAGCTGCTCTGCTCTTCCCTGGGCTCCCAGCAGTGTGTGCCCTCACCTGGGACACAGCTCTGCCAACTGGACTCATTTTCTTGGAAAGTCCCTGGCCCCATGGCCCATGGCGCTTCCCCAAAATTACTGCCATGCCTGTGGCTTTTCTGGAACTGGTACTGTCAGTGCTCAGTGCTGGTGGGGAGGACACAGGGTGAGGTGGGAAAGCTGGTCCCAGTGATCTGGGAATGCAGGAATCCTTCTGAACGGGGACAACCTCACGCTGCCTGGCACCCCGGTCCCTACAGTGACTCTCTGGGTTCCTGGAAGGGGACAGCGATGCGTAGTGCAGCTTGTCCCCACTGGGTTATTCCCCCTCTCTGATTGTACCCTACATCTCTAGGGTCACGAGAGATGCTTAGGGACACCTGGGAAAGGGGACCCTTGGGTCATGTCCTGTCCCCATGTCCACCATCTCTGCTCAACAGCTCTACCTTGCCCCACAGCCGCCCTCTGCCCCACAGAGGTCCTTTCCACCCTAACGAGGATGGGAGAGACTCTCCTGCCCCATCCTGGTCATCCCCCTTGTCCTGTCCCTCAGTGACAGAAGGAACACGAGCCATCAGGTGGGCACCTCGGCACAGGTCCCGGGATGGGATGAGCCCATGTGCTGAGGATACAGCAGAGCTGCCCACACTGCTGGGTGCGGCTGCCAAACATTTTTTCTTGGTTCCTCTTTTTTCAAACACCAAGGTGCACACTCAGCAATACAATCTCTGCTGCAGGCAGCCCCAGGCTTCTCCAGGAATGGCTGGGTGACTGAGATGTGCAGAGCACACCAAGAGTCTGCTGGCCACTGGGTCCCTGCTGTGTCCCACCACACATGGTACAGGGGGGTCCTGGCCTTAGAGTGCACTGTGCAAACAAGCTGGAAAGCCATGCAACACACTTGGGCACAGTTGCACACGCTGTCCTGGGAGGACAGCTTCCATGGAGGATCTGGGCAAGGGGGAAGCACTTTGGGCAGGAGGTTAGTGTGCAACCTCCTCTGTTGCAGGTTTAGCCCTTGTTTTTTGGGTGACAGTGTGTTGTGCTCACACTCTGCAACCACAGGGACACACTTCCTCTGGGAACAGGGTCCTGTGGCCTGTAACACAACAGTACAGACACTGCTGTTGCTTCACATCAGATCCTGGTCCCATTCCCTGGCCTCTATCATAGCCAGGATACTTAATCAGAAGGTTTCTCCAGCCTGCGTCAGCCCAGACACATCCCTGCAGCAGAATGGGACAACGTGAGTAGATGCTAGTTTAATGATTTTTATCATCTAGCTCCAGCAAGATTGGTTTAGAGAAGTACTCCAGTTGAGATGATGCAGAGCAACATAAGGTCCGAGCCCCTGGACTACAGCTCAAACCTCAGACAGTGTGGCCTCCTAGGAGGTCAGATAACATGTGAGCCTGTATGTAGATACCCACTGATTAACTCTGCTGGGATGAAAGTGTGCAGCCTTTGTAGGAAGAGCCCAGTGGAGCCCTTGGGGTATCCTGTCCTTCCAGCACCAAGGAAGCCTGTTAAAGAGCAACACCAGCACATCATAGCTTCTGCCCCTGCAGGGTCTCCTGGACACAGGGGCTCAGCTCACAGCTTCCCACATCTTTTCTGCATACCAGTACCTATCTCCACTGTGGTGAGAACCGGGTATCCATACAGTGTGCAAAGAGATACGACCTTCTCCTGCTCCCAGGGACACTGCCCACTCTGTGGAGGAACATTACAGCCCCTGCAGAGGCTTTCCCAGAACACTGAGCTATGCTGCCCTCCATCCCTAAAAAGAGCTTCACTCCACCACAACCTGACTGATGCCTGAATGTTTTGGGCCCTAGTATGGACATCAGCTCCAGTTCTCTCTGATACAGCTACTGCATGCTGCACACAGTAAAGATACACAAGGAACCTTGCAGCAGGAGAACAGCAAAACCTTTTGGTGTGGGGAGAGGAACAAGGAATTCTTACCTGTTTCCTGGGGTTCTCTGGAGCTGTCAGGGTCTGGCTCTTTCTGCTCCTGTGCTGCTAGCAGAGGTGTGAGCAGCATTAAAAATGTCCACCGCAGGGCCATGTGTCGTTATATGCCCCCAGGGCAGGATTCAGGTCTCAGCCCCACTGGCTGACTCACAGCACACCTGTCCGATTGCAAGACGTTCAAGCACAGAAAGGAAACAGACACACAGAGAAATCACATTTGGTGCAAGAGGCTTCCTCATTGGAGAAGGAACCTCCGCCAGTGTCAGTGCCACTTTCGTTCTTCTCTTCTGAGAACCAGAGCAGCTTCACGCCCCTTTTGCAATTTTGCTGCTCTCTGCTCTCTTGTCTGAGAACCACAATTTTCAGGCTTTCTGGCAGTAGTAGCTACTAGCCACAACAGCTGGGTTGCCTCCTCTCCTGGAACAGATCTCAGCGGTCCCAGAAGGACTTGTGAGCTGCGCTGGTTCATGACTGGGGTTTTGCAGGAAGAGGTAGCTTCCATACTCACAGGGTGAAGTCAAGCAAAGACTACATCAGGACAATCCTCACCTTGATACTACCTGATAAGAATTGTGATAGAAAGGACTTCTGAAGGGCACTGATGATCTTAATTACCTGGTAGTGCATGTCATGGGCAGGAAAGCCAAGGTTTTGGCAGAAGTGGCTGGATGCTCAAGACCTGACTGAAAGCAGATGCTCGGGAACAAGCTGATGAGAGCCCTGGGGACCGGGAGCCCAAGTCTTGTGGCAGGTTGTGTTGCCAACACATTCTGGGAGTGGCAATGACCATGGAGGGGTAAGAAGGTGACACAGGCATGGCAGTTAGCAGGGAAGGGTCTGCCACTGAGACTGTCTGTGCAGCTGGAGGCCAGTGGCATTGGCACCTGACCATCAGAGGTGGCCCAGGGCAGGAGGCGATTAATGAATTTCTGTTCCATCTTCCCCAGCTGCCCAGCAGCACTTGCTGGATGTGCCTGACCCACATCCCAGCTGAAACACACAAATGGGAGAAAAACAAGCCCTGAAATATCTTCTGAGGCTTTGCAGCAGGGCTGAAGCCCCTTTTGATGGCCTTCCTCTTTACTGTGCTCTTTATTGTGCAAGACCCGGTACTCCCAAGCCTGGGGTCAGGCTCTGCTTTCTGCTGATGCACATCCTTTGTTTGATTTGTACCTCCATGCAGCAGCATCAAGCAGGCCAATGTGGGGTGACCCTCTCCAAATACATTTTCCTCAGCTACTCCAAAAATCTGACCCTGAGCAAAACATGGTAGAAGTCTTGTTTTGTTTTTTTTCTGCAATTATGGTACTTGACAGCAGATACTCCAGCAGTCTTTTGTCCCTCAGGGACAGAGCTAGAGTCTGCCCAGCCACCTTTTCTGTGCCCTCATGCTCAGAAAGGCAGTCTCAGTCTCTTCTCCCCTGTCTGTGTTTCATCTCTTCCTGCAACAGAGCTGGCAGAACCTGTGGTCTCCACCAGGAACCTGCCGGGTTTTTTTCCCCTTTGCTCAAATATGAAGCTCACCCATAGAGTGTTTACCATGTTCAAACACTTTCGCACTGGCAGAGGTGCCCTGGGGATGCAAGTGCACAGTCAGGACCCTGGCATTGCAGCAGAGCACAGCCTGGGATGTAGCTGTGCTCTGTCTCCAGTGGAAGGTTTGTGGGGTGGGTGGAAGCAACTGCTCCTCTTGACTCCAGCAACAGCAGAAAATCAGACATCACCTCTCTCTGCCCCATGATGCTTCTGAGACTTTCAAGAAATAATTAAAGGGCTGCAAAAGCAAACTCCATCAGTAGGAATAGGTTACTGTTTGGAGGATCTTTGGGAAATGAGTAGGGAAATTCCATAAGTTAAAAAAGGCTAAAAAATCACATCCCTGGTCTCTCTGTGCACCTCTCCCAGAACAGTGGTTGTCAGCTCCTATATTAACAGTATATGGCATCTCCAAACGCCCTTCATTACCCCATCTGAAGCCTCAAAAGCAATGGAGGAAGTGTGTCCTAAGCAGTTGCAGAAAGCCCTTTTGCTCTTCACACTTCCCCTTGCTCCACATCCAAAAGTCCAGCCTTGAGCATAACCCAGGCTCTTGCACAGAGGACAGAGGGGTGTTGCAAGCTGGTGCCACTTTCCCCAGCAGGTTCAGCAGTTACATGCTCTGGTTACACAAGGCAAAGCCAAAGCCACAAAGCCAGCTTTGGCTTGTTTGCAACAAGACGGGAACGCAGGTGTGCCTGGCCTTCTTGGTTTGACAAGTCTCACTGCTTCCCCCATGTCACCCTGCCACAGAGCACAGCTGGCAGATCTGGCATGGCTGGGAGGATGGGCAGGGTGTATTTCAGCTGGGTGTAGGCAGAGACCAACATCCTGCTGCAATGCCAGGGTCCAGGCATGCTTCCAGACGTGTTCCATTTTGCCACAAACCTCGCAGTGTGTTGGTATTTGAGCCATATTTAGCAGCAATCTTGCCACCCAGGGGAGATGTCACTCCCGTGCTGTGAGGGCCTTCTCTCCTACTGACCCTACAGGCTTTGTGGCAGTTTTGAAGCTCTTGAAGCATTCGCAAAAAGGACTGATGGCTACTTCTACAGGCTCTCTTTTTTGTTTGTCTTATTCAGCTTTTACATCTTACCTACCTTTTGTCATCTAGACATGACTTCAGCTCTTTGAAGGGTCTCCTCTGTTTCAAATAACCTCTGGCCCTGGTGGATAGCCCTGCTGGTTCCTCTACTTTTGATACCAGGGAGCCCTGAAAGGCTGCCTTAAATCTTTGAAAGGCTGCTGAACACTGTGTGACCATGCTGCTTCTTTTAGCTTCATTTTATCCAACTTTCCTCATTTCATGCATTTCCCCTTTCTGAAGCTGAACAAGATGCCATTGGACTTTTCAATCTTTGGTAAATATGCAGGGTCATGAAAACAAAGCATGTTGTGGCTGTCACCAGCGGACAGTCCTTTCCTGAGAATGTGCTCAGCCCAGTCCTGCACAGTTCCCCATCTTCCTCCTTAGCCTTGTGGTGCACGTGGAGGAGCCACATGCCTGACACCTTGCTTACCTCTGCCTTTTATTGCAAACCAGCCATTGGGATGCTTGAAGACCAACAGCAGTAGTGCTATACCTTGTGTCTCTCTTGGTAGGGATCCCTGTTCCCAAAGGTGTATCTGTGGTATAAAGAGGTCTGCATTCTTATTCTAAAGCAGGGACTGGGCCCATATCTTGGAGAAAGGGCTTCTGCCTGCTGCCGGCAATCATTCCTTGCACCCACATGTGCTACTCCCCTGCACGATGCTCTCTGGGACCAGCACCTGGCTTGCCAGTTCCCACCTAAATCTCCCCCACACCACCTCCCGTGGACCACGGGCAACTGCTAGTGTGCAGAGAATGGCTCTTGCCCCGTGAGCACTGAAGCAAGGGGAAACGGGCTCTGGCCTGTGAAAGCTGCTTGTGGGCAATGCTGCCACAAAAGCTCATTCAGAGATAACCTTGGGGGTTTCATTGTACAGATGGGGGCACTGAGGCAGAGAGGGAGTCAGCAAAGGGGCTGAGGAAGGAAGTCTGTACGGCAGATGATTGTTTCAGTGCTGAGTTCCAGGACACTGGTGCAACCGCAGCGCTGACCTTCCTCCGGCTGAACGGGAACTGGGCTGAGCCCCAGTGTCTGTTCCTGCCTTAGCTACTGCCACCAGTGGGGTCACACCAACCAAGGACCTGGAAAGCAGCTCCAGAGACCCCAGGTTGGTACAGCCACCATGCAGGGAACTGGCCTGTCCCCAGGCTATGCTGCAGATGGGCTAGCGTGAAAACTGGATGTTCAGCTGTTTTGAGCATGCACAAAGGTCTCAGATGATAATATGAGCTCATACACAGTTTGATGTCCCCATGTCATGAACTGTTAGTAAAGAGGATGTCTCAAACAACTTGAGTGGGATGCCCTGTGGGGGAGAGGGAGAACAAGCTCTGGGGAGGTGGGGTGGTGGGCTGATTCTTTCTCCCTTCTTCTTGTTGTTGCCCAGAAACAAAACTTACCTAGCTGAACAGGTGCAGGCCAGAGAAAATAAGAACCTTCTGGAACAACCTACTGCACATGTGTAAGAAAGGCTATATAGAGGCAACATCCCACATGTGTCTTCATCAACCCACTGCCTACAGACCAAGCTGGCTACTCTGTGACAATGCAGGATCCAAGGGTGGTGATTCCCTTTTCCTATCCCCTCCTCTCTTTCCTCTTTCTGCTCTCTCTCCTTCTTGCATATATTCATGTGTATAAGTTTTGTATAAATTGAATTGTAATTGGTTGATTGTTGATGGGGTTATTAGGAAAATAGTCTCATCACGAAAGTGCCTTTATTCATTCCCCAGAGGGTTATCTGTTGATTGTTGCCAGATTGTCTCCATTTATTCACTAAAGTGGTCAGTTAATAAAGTCACCAGCGCAATTGTTCCTCTGAGTCATTGTGGTTACTTGGTCCACCCTGCAACTCTGACGAGCAGGGACAGGGCTCTTCCAGCAGCACCCATTCAAATTCAAAAGATTCACCCCCCTTGTAAACCACTGCGTGGGACGAGACACCCCAAAGAGATGTGTCAGAGCCACCTGCATGCCCATTCACAGCCTGGCAGCCCCTGCCCTGTATGGCACAGCTGCTGCATGGAGCCTTGTGGGATTTGGGGATGTGTCACTGCCTGCTGGATGCTGGCAGAGTGAGCTCTGGGACTGGCTGCACTCCCCTCCTCCAATATGTGGGCCTTTCCTTCAGACACACACATTCCTGCTTGTACCCCGTGCTCCCTTGAGCAGCTGTCTGCCCCTCTGCTGCCCTCAAGCTCAGTGCTGCTTGCAGCCCTTGCAAGAGAAGGGTTTCCCAGAAGAGCATGAGCCCATTTTCCACCACACTGATGCTTTCCCACTTGCTCAGGTTTTAGTGCCTTGAAAAGCTGCCATGTTAATGTGGTATCCTTGTTCTGTGTCAGATGCCATGCAGTCTTCATGACATGACAGTCACACTCCTCTGCCAGGCCTCATACAGGCTGCTACTGAGATTGTTTGATGAGACACTCTCTGCTTTCCTGCGAGTCTTGCTGGCTGGCATGGC